GTGTAGTTACTGGAGAGGGTACAGAATGCATTGAAGCCCAGCATTCGACTTGTAGCCTATGGCAAAGTTGATAAGTTGCCAGAAGGAACCAGAAAGGAATAATTCTTAATATTTCTGCCTCAACCACTGTGTCGGGACTTAAAGGAACATTGTTTGCTAGATCTATGGCCATTTTGTAAGATGTGCCTAACTTCAGGGAAAAGAAACAATGGATGAATCCTTGGAAATTTCCATGGCAGAGTTGGAAAGGTGGCAGTGCTTCTTCCTGAGGGGAAGGGAGCAATTGAATTCATGCTCCTGATCTCACGTAAGCCACTAGTAAATAAGGGGGCAATGTACACAGCCACCTGGGAGGGCTGCCCCAGCTCTCTGTAGCCGTGTTGGGGTATGGCAGAAAGTTGGCAGGAAATCCTTCCGTTTACTAGCCTCATGGCCTGTTTCATTATATTCTTTCAACTCTACTTGAGATAGGTCCATTTAAGGATCCAGTGGGCCAGTGATTCCAGTGGAACCAGCCATGATTTCATTAACAAGTTCATCTGACAGTGGCCATTGACATGCAGAACTATGCCCAGTGACAATAACCCCACAGCTGGCAGACAGGCCACCCCTTCTAATTTGAACTTGGAGAATTATCTGGGTCCAGATTAGGACTTTTCATTGTTAAAATAGACTTCTTTTCTTCTAATATTCATTAGACAGAATACCTAGAATATGACCCGAGAGGTGCAGACTGACCAGCCTGAGGTGAGGGGACATCTCTAAAATTAACTCTGAGGGCTCAGGGTGTAGGGATAATAGAGATGCATATCACCAATCTCCGGAAAACATGGCACCACTAGTTGGAAGCCTGGACATTCCTTCTATTGCCTCCACACCCCAACCAAGCCCTGCTGTGCCCATTCCCTGGGCTGGGGATTTCCTTTTAACTGAAATTTGCCACTTACTTCACCTTAACTCAAAGTTTGCAAACTGGTGGCTCACAGTTGTGTTTTATTTAGCCCAGTGATTAAAAAAAATAATAAAATATTTAAAAACTATGAGTGTTTACATAAAAATTGATTTCTGGCTTCTCTTAAAAAAAGACAATGAAGATCTGACAAAATTAGTGCATGATAAGAATCAGCTGGAGCTCAGTAGATTGGAAAATGTGCCCTTCGGGATACCACAGTTCCTAACTGTCAGTTACCATTTGTCCCTTTTTCTTTACAGTAGGGAAATGGGTCTCTGTATCTGCTGCTGTATCAGATGATGGGCAATACAGATGATAGGCCAGAATGGTGTGTGCCCACTTCACTTACCTAGGTAACCTACTGGCCACCCCAGACACTTGAGCTTAAAGCCCTATTTTAGTCCATTTTCTCTCCTTTACCTGGTTCATTACATTTCCTCTGAAATCCCTAATTGCTTTGAAGACATTGCAGTTACCATCACTGCCCACTTTCAAGGTGACCGTGTGCTGTTTGTGACGGTGTGGCTTGTGTAACCATCATGATGACTTAGTCTTCTAGTGGGAAATTAGTCTATGGTCCTGGCATCAGAGGAGGGCCAGCCAGGTCCCCTTGGTGTCAGGGGCCTTGCCCAGCCTGACTGCCAGGGCCTGGCCTCACATAGTCTCAGGTCATGCATCCTACAAAACTCCTGAGTGTAATTTTGTAGTCTGAAATCGTAGTGGAACCAATATAGAAGTACGTTTGCCTCCTTTCTCCACTGATCTCAAAGAACCACTGTTCTGGGAACAGGCAGGTTAACATTACAGGACAATTTGAGAAGCCACACTGCTTTCTGATCTGTTGCCCTGATGCTCTGAAACCTTCAGAGCCAGGTTAAATGTGGGTATGGCTCCATACACAAACTTACACAATGTGGTTGTGATAGCAGACACTTGAGGGTAAACAAGGATGAGCAGCATCCCCAGACCGTGTGTGCTGGGCTGGGCTGGGCTCCACCCTCACACTGACATTCCCAGGGAGCTATGACTGAGCCGTCCCCTTCCTTCAGGAGGAACTGACCTCCTTTGCCACTTCAGGAAGACCAGAGAGTTCCGAGGGCAGATGTCCTACATGTGCTGCGTTTAGAGCCATCCCTGGATTGTGGCTGCTGTACGGGCAGCCCAGAAACCCTCGCATCCTGGGAGGGTGCACGTCGGCAGCCCCCGGCTCATCCTCGGTGCAGAAAAAGATCAACAAGGCAGAACCTGAGTGAATCAATGTCATGTTCACATGGAAGACAACAGACAATATCCAACATGTTCTAAAACAACACTTCTAGGGAAAGGGCAGGCATGGCTCCCTCACGGGTCTGTTCTAAGCAGTCTCTCTAAAAGTGATGCAAGCAAGACTACAGAAGCCCCCAAACAAAGTGTCACAACCACATAATCAAAACGAGACACTGGATGTTGACTTTAACATATAAAAATACTATAACAAAATGAAATACAAATATATATTAGAATCTGTTAAGTATTCTGTATAAAGAGATACTTTCGTGGTTAGGCTAACAGCAGGCAAAGAGGAGACAAAATCCAGCCTTTTCCATTTCCTGACACCTTCACAGGGAGCCTGGGCCGCTGTCACCAGTGGTGCTGCCAAAGCAGCAGCAACCTTGGGACTTGCCCTGCTTGTGTCTCTTCAGTGCAGAAACGGCCAGTGGTGACGTCAAAGCGAACTGAAGTTCTTTACCAAAGAAGTGGCAGGGTGTAGAGATGGTTTCTCAGAGAGATGATGTCATGGTAGCCTTCTGGGACTCAGCGGGCCCAAATGTGAACAGGCAAGATGTGTGGTGATCCAGTTCCTTAGCAAGTGGCCACTTGGTGGCTAAGTTGGAGGGAAAGTTGATCCTGGGGCACACAGCTTTCTTGGCCCCTTGCTGCCCTCACCCTTGTGGTGGATCCCAATCTTCCGGCTCTACCAAGGGTCACTGTGGAGCTGGCAGGGACGTGGGGCGCTGTGGAGGGGCAAGCGGGGGCAGCGGCAAGCTCACAGGGTGCGCCCTGTGAACAAACTCCATCCTCTGCCCTCCCAACCCCATGGCACTGGGAGTGCAGGACTCCTGGCAACCATCACCTGTCTGCAGGTGCCCTTTCCACTTTCTGCAGGGTGAAGAGGCCCCTGCCAGTCCTTGCCCCTCGAGCCTGGGGAGCTGCTTCTTTAGGGCAGTGGGGAATGGTGGTGGCCAGGGGAAGGTACACATCTCAGGGTTGGTGTGTCCCAGAACAGCTCTCATCCATCTTGGAAGAGGCAAGCTAGCTGCGCTTGAGCTTTCCTGCCTGTCCAGCCTGGGGCTAGCTGCTCTCCGGGGTCCCACAGTGGCCCAGAAACTCCAGGTAAAAGGGGGATGCTGTGCAGCCCTAGGGGAAGCCCCGCAAGGCCCAGGCTCCACAGTGGGGAGGGGCTCTGTGGCCTTGCTCAGAGCTACAAGAAAATAGAGCCCAGCCCCTGGTGAGGGGCAGATTCAGCCATGAGGACACCTCCCCAGCTGGGCAGGGCAGGATCTTCTTCCGGTTACAGAGGTCCCAGGACTCAAACTCGCTGGCCTGAGTCCCAGTGTAGTGGAACATGCCAGCCTCCCACAGTCGCAGGGGGCTCCAGCCCCCTACAATTCAGCATCAAGGGTTCCCCAACGCTACCCATGGTGACTGAGGACACAGGCACAATACCACCTCAACCCCACGGCAACACACTCGCCCAACTCTGCCTTCTGTTTGCAGATGGAAAGAGCCAGGAAAGGGACGTGCTCACCCCCCTTGCCCACCAGGATCCCCCAGGGGTGCACTGGGGCAGAAGAACATGACCTGTCTTCCTTCCAGCCAGCTCACTATTTAGGCTTAACGATAATTTTTCTACGTTCTCATTCTGCACGAAAGAAAAGCATTTGTAGTTGCACGGTCAGGTATTCAATGACTCTTCAAACACTGAGTCCTTCCTTGCAAACACCTCAGGTGAGCAGCTCCAGCCTGGCCGAGGTCTGTGGTTGGAGCCTTCACCTGCTCAGCTCTCTTCCCAGGCCTCCTGGTCGCTCCTGTGATGCTCGGTGATTAGTTTGCATCTGTCCGTGAGGGCAGAACACCCACGGTACCCAGCCTGTTAGGCACATAAATACTTGTTGATGTGATGAATGAAAATGGATCGTCTGTCTTCCAGCCTCCCTCCTGGAGCTATAGTGGGAGAGTCGACACTGTTCATTCAGTTATCCCACCTCCTCATTTCATAGCTGAGGAGACGACTGAGGCCCACGGGGAAGAAGTTTGCCGGGAGTGCAGAGCCAGGAGGTTTCCTGATGCCTGGACCACTGCTCCCTACTGGTCTGCGCATAAGGGGATCTGAACCCAGTTTCCACAGGAGGAGACCCCTCCCGGGCCAAGCAGCCTAGCCCAAGCTCCCTACACCCCGTCCTTCTGCCAGTGGCTCGCCAGCAGCTGTGGCTGGCTAACGGCTGAGGAAGCCCAGGACCAACGCCCCTTTAGTGGCTAGTGTCTGGAGGTGATGTTTATTCAATTGGAACCAAGAATCCCCTGTCCTCTTTGGTAGGTCCCTACCCTAAGCAGCCCCAGTAGCCGTTTCCTCCACATGAGCCCCGTCCTTGAAGCTACAATGATCATCCCATAACTTTAGGATTCAGAGGTCTGGTCCTAAGACCCACCTCCACCCCCAGCCTCGTCCCCCAGCGAGCAGTGGCTGTGGCGCTGCCAGTCAGCCCAGGGTGTAAGGGTCAGTCCCTTCCTGGCCAGCAGGACGGGGCCCTTTCCCTGCGCAGCCTGGCCTACTGCCAGCAGGCGCTGCAGCAGCAGAAGGAGCCGAGAGCCAGGCTGGCTGCCCCAGTGGATACTGAGGGTACTTCAAGGTTATCTGTAGGGGGCAAGGGGTTTCTGGGGCAGCATGGGCTACAGGTGAGAGAGAAAGGCTGGTTTGGGAAGGAGCCAGTCCCTTCTTCGAACCCAGGTAGCAGGCAAGGAGGGAGGTGTCACCATCTGCACTTCTTGGCTTGACCTCACGCAGACATTCATTCAACAAATATTTATTAAGCGCCTATTTGTGCAAGGCACTTCCGGGGAGGGCGCTCCGCAGCCGGGACCACGCCCACCCGCTCCGCTCCCAGCTGCACGCGGTCGGCTTTAGGAAGGCCGCGCGGCCCCGGGGAGGCTGGCCCCGCCTCACACGAGAGGGCCCAGCCGCCCGGGAGCATCCTGGTGATGGCCCGCACCCCGGGCGGGCCAGCTGCTGGCCACTCGGGCTCCGCCGCGGCCGTGCCCCCTCGCCCGCCCTCGCCCTCCCCGTCCACGCCAGGCGCTACGCGCAGAGGGCACAGCCACACTTGGTGGGCTTCTCCACCTCCTCGGCAAAAGAGGTCCCGTCGCTGCACTCAAACGTGAACTTCCTCCGCTTCAGCCGCAGGCCCTGGCAGCAGCCCTGGCCTGGGCAGGAGCCCCGGCATTCCACCCATGACAGCGGGCGCGTGGTCTGGCAGATGGCATAGCCCCTCTGGACCTGGTGAAAGTCCCGGACAGGGTCCCCCCGGCACTCGGTCTCTGGATGGGACAGACACCAAGAGAAAGCCTCAGGGCACACCCATGGGCCAGCGCTGCCCCGGGGGAGGCAGGAGGAGGAGGGCAATCCTTGGACAGGGTCCTCCAGCTCTCAGACCCCTCTCCGTCCCCAGCATCCTCCCTGCCGGACATGCACATGCACACGCTTCCTCCTGGGCCCACAGTGGGGTCCATGGGAAGGAAGAAATTTCTAGCTGCCACAGCCCTCGAGGACAGATTGGGTTGCCAGGGTAAGGTGGGCTTCCCGTTGCTGGAGGAGTGCCAGAGGTGGCTGGAAGCCTGGGAGGCAATAATATTAGAGAAGGAATTCGTGTCAGGAGGGTCTTTCTGGCCCAGGGCACCCTGAAGGGGCCTGGGTTCTGGATTTCTCAGGTTCTCCCTGCCCTCCTCAGCAGTCTTGATTCCAGCAGAAGCATCTTGGTCACACAGGCCAGGGAAGGCCTAGGAAAAGGTCCCCAACCCTCAGACTTCCTGCTGCTCCCCAGGTCCCCAGGTGATGGGGCCAAGATGTAGACCTTTGGGCAGGAGCTGTTTCCCTGGGTGGTCTCCTCTGTAAGGAGAGACCCTAGCCAGAAGGAGCACTTACCCAGGATAAGGGGGCTGCAGGGCAAGCTGGGCCAGGGAGAGATGGGGCATCTGTCTGGGGGTGGGGCTAAGACCCCAGAGGGTGGGGGGCACTAAAGCCCAGTAGCAGCCCTAGGTGCAGGAGTGGGGAGGGGCAGAGAGAGGTTGCTGAGGTTGGGAGGAAAAGTCAAGTCACTAAAGCAAGTTGTGGGGAGGGACCCTGGAGGGGGCATGTCAGGAGGGGGGCCCCTGACCTTGCTCACACAGCTCGCCCAAAAAGCCGGGGTCACACACACAGTGTGCCCCCTTGGTCGACAAGGCCTGGCAGTGGCCATGCAGGCACTGCAGGCCCCCGCAGGGGTCCGCGGGTGCCCCGGCTTGGTTGCACAGGGCCCCTGAGTACCCATCCTGGCACTGGCAGCTGTAGGAAAGAGCATCGAGGGGCACGCAGTTCCCGTGGACACACCTGGAGGGGACAGAGAAAAGGCACTGTGAGGACAGACCATAGCCTATCCAAGGCCCACCCAAGGGCACCCCACACCCCTAGCTTGGCCTCATGGGATGTTATCCTGTTCTCAAGATTGAAACAAAGGGAGCAAAATGTGATTGCGCATCTGTCCCTAGGGACCTTTTCCTCTTAATAAAAACTGAAGACCAGGAAAACCTGATAAAACCCTGTGTTAGGCCACATGTTCCAATTTTGGGGTTTAAAAGTACGGTCTTTCTCACCACAAGGAATTGGCACTTGCAGAGAAGGGAAGGGAAGCTGCGGGTGGGCAGGGATGAGGGCTCACTTGTGGCCATGGCAGGGGCCATCAGCTGGCTGGTCACAGTGCAGGCCTCCCCAGCCAGCCTCACAATGGCATATGGGCCCCGGGGTGGCGTTGGGCTGGCAGATGCCATGTAGGCAGTAGAGCTTTCGACAGGGCTCACAGCCCGGCACCACGCCTGGCTTCATCCGCGTCTTGGTGAAGTCCTGAAGCTCGTTGTTGATGTATAGGTTTCGGATGCAGCCGTGGAAGCTGGTGCCATTGAGGATCTGCCACAGGCGGAAGGCAGCCGAGTTCACGTCCACCGGCATCCCTGGGGCGGGGGTGGGGGCGGGGGCAGAGCTGAGCTGAGTCAGGCTCAGACCACGCCTGCCACCCACCTCTGAGGTCCGCTGGGCATCTCCGGTGGTCCCTCTTGCCCTCGGCCTCTGTCCTATCTCTGCAACCCTGGGCCAAGGTCCTTTGCTACCTTGGAGGGTCCAGACTCCTTTCCCAGAAGAAATGGAAAAGCTGCTTCGTCTGTGATCAGAGCCCAAGGATGCCAGGCCTGGCAGCAGCCAGCTGACGAGTAAGGCTCTAGGTGCCTGAAGTCTGGCTGCCCTCACCTAGGGTTTCCTTTCTTCCCTCTAGGACACCAGCCTTTACCTCCCAGAGACCCCAAAAGCAGCAAAGGACGTGGGCCTAGAGCTCAGGTGTATGGCACTTTGTCACCCACTTTTACAGTCATCACTTCACAGCAACCCCCTGAGGTAGGCGTTGCTAGACCCTGTTTAATGCTCAGTGCTCAGTGACTTGCCCTAGGTTGCACAACTAGCAAACAGCTGGGATAGAACCCAGGGGTCTGTCCCCCACACCTGCCCAAAGTCTCAGCAAGGCCCTCCACAGCACTGAGACAGCCCCACTGCGTCTGCCCCGTCTGGACTTAGAAATGTTCTCAGATCGGGGACAGGGTTATTTAGCCACAGAGCCTGTAAGCTCACAGCGGCTCTAGGCCTCTGAGATTGGGAATGGACCCTGAACAATTGACAAGTCCCTTCTGGCCCAAAGCCAAGAAGAAAGGTGCCCACAGTGCAGAAGACAGCTGGGAAAGTCCCAGGGCCCCCCCGCTCCACCCTCTGGGCCAAGCCTCGGACCCAACCCAGGCACCCATCTCTCCTGGTCAGTCTGGGCTGGGCAGACAGCAGCATGGGCTCCGGGCAGGGGAGGGCAGTCTATCAGCAGCTTGGCCATTCACTGGGGCCCTCCCCCACCACCTTGGACTGTCAGCCATAGTCCAGTGCCCCAGGCACCAGCTCTCCTGGAAAGCCTCAGGCCAGAGAGCAACAGAGGCCCCACCTGGAAGGGCTGTCACCGCCTCCTGCTGGAGAGGCCTGGGGAGGGCCAGCTGCAGCTCCACCCGCGCCAGGTCCTCACCTCCCACATACAGGGGGGCCTCGCTGTTGAGCGTGTAGTGTTTGCCGAAGTTGTCCATGGTCATGGGACTACCGCCATCGATGGAGAGATTCACCATCTGGTCAAGGGTGACCAGCTCAACGGTATGGAACTGCCCATCATTGATTGTCTCGGCACTGGAAGAAGATGGGGTGCCCCCACCCCAGGGAATGGGCTTCAGTTTGGCCCATCCCTGCCTGGGCACTTCCCCAGAAAGGCCACTGGACCAGCAGCTTCTTCCCAAGGGACCAAATCTCTAAGGGAGGGGACTTGGGGACTCAGTGGCCTATGACTTGGTCCCTCCTACTCCCCTCTGGGGCCTCCCTGGGGAAAGTGAGAAGTCGGGGGCAGGGGTTTCCAAGTTAACAGTCTCCCCTTCCCCACTAGGGAGACCCCTGAGAGGTGGTGGTGGGATGGGGAAGGGTGGGACCACTGCTCAGGCCCCAGAGAGCCTCAGACCCAAGCTGGGGCTGGACTAGATGGTTCAAATGCCTTCTCCACTTAGGCAGCTCAGGGTTCTGGTGGTCCCAATAACTACCTCCTCTTGGCCCAGGAGGCGCCTGCGGACGGCTGGTGGGCATGTGGAAGCCCTACCTGTAGATGGCAGAGCTAGGGTAGCTGCCTGGATCATAGCTGACACGCACATGGCCCTGGTACAGCTCCACTGCGATGTGGTCATTGTCCCCGTTGTACAGCAGGATCCCATTGTCCTCTGCCGTGGAGACCTGACGGGTAATGGCACTTTCTTTCCTACCCAACCCCACGCAGCAGTGGCGCAGGCTGGTAGGTGGGGCACTTGGGGGACCCACAATTGGAAGAGAGATGCTGTGTGCAGAACTGTCCTCCACTGGCTGCCCAGCCGGCCCAAGTGACACATCCTCCAGGGGCGCTGACAGAGGCTGGCAGCCCCTGGTTCATATCCCATCCACTGCCAGTCTGGCCAGGGCTGGGCCAGGGAGGGCAGATGGGCCAGCAGAGCCCTGGAAACTATGTGCTGGGAGGAGCAGGTAAGAGACCTTGGGACCACTTGCCCAGAGAGGAAAGTTAGACTGATGTGTGGTAGCCATTCTGTGGGCCCCAGGTAGCTGCCTTGGGCCAGAGTGGGACCTACAGAGGAAATTCAAGAAGGCTCTCTAACCGCCTGAGCCGCCCACACCTGGAAAGAGCCCCTCAGGAGGTAGCGCCTGTCACTGCAGCCATGCAAGCAAAAGCTAGAGCGATGCCTTGGGAGGGACAAGTCCTGCCTTGCCCCTCTTCCCCCCTTTCTCCTGGTAAAGACCTGACTCCCTGGTCTGTACAGCTGGCGCATGGCCCAGGCTGGACCAATCATAGCACCCTATCTCGCTGGACTCAGTGGTTGGTTGAGCGATGGACATGTGACTGAAAGCTGGCCAATGAGAGATCATCCCTGAGCTTGTTGACGGTTGTCCAACTAGAGCTGGGAGGGAAGAGCCAGCCGTGGGCCAGCAGGGTAAACTGAGCCTGTCTAAGGTTGTGCCTGAGGCGACAGCTGTAGGGTTTTGGCAAGTTTTATTTTGTGGAACAGTTAGGCTAGCTGTGGTCTTACTGTGTGGACAGTGTGAGTGGACAGGACTTGGGGAGGTGATAAAGGGAAGGACAGCAGAGTGAGCATGTTTGAGAGGCTGAAGCGTTCTGAGAAAAAAGGAGAAGAGGATAAAAGAAAGGAAGGAAGAGAGATGTGGCATTTGGGATAGGGAATGGAATTTTGGGAAAAGAGAGAGAGGACTAAAGAGTTTTAAATCTTTTATCGTGTGATGTGCGATATAATCTCCTGTCCCTCCCCAAGAAATATTTAGCAAACAACGCTGTTGAAGTGGAACTTGCTTTTTTTCCCCCTCAACATAATGATGTTCTGAGATGGAATTCAGGACACGAAATGGCAAGATCAGGGACCCCGGGGACACTTGGTTAAAGATATTAGCACAGAGCTAACTCTGGCTATGTTCCAACCATGTGGAGAAACCTGTCTGCAGCGCTGGAGGCTGAAGCTAAGGAGCAGCTGAGACAAGAGATGGTGGGAGAGGATCCTGGTCAGTTTGGTTTTCTGGATCCAATCCCCCGTGAAACCATGTCCACCTCTGCCCTTCTCTGAGATTGGTTGTGTGACCCCATAACCTCTCCAGTTGTGCTTTAACTAGTTCAAGCTCAGATCCTGATGCCCACATCCAAAGAGCTTTGACTAACACAGGGTCCCCCCAGTTGTCCTGGGCAGGGATGCGTCATGACGCTCTGACCTGAGGCCAGGGTCCCCTGCTGCCTGACTCCCCTCTGTGACTGGCACCGTGGGCACGCACCTGCAGCGTGATGTTGGCCCGTGGCCAGTTCTGCAGGTCGGTGAACTGCAGGTAAGTGTCCCGATCCACGAAGTTGACACTGAGCAGCTTCTCACACTCAGGGCCCCCAAAGCCCGGGAGGCACTGACACACCGGCCGGCTGCCCTGGTCCACACAGTCGGCCCCGTTCTGGCACTCAGTCCCCTCGCAGGGGTTCCTGGGGGCAGGCGTGTGGGGTGGGGTCTCACAGAACTGCCCACTGGTAGGGAAAGGACACAGGTCAGAGAGGGCAGGGCGAAGGAGCAAGCGGGCATCTTCTTCTCCCACAGTCCTGCAGAGAAACTCACGAAACATCTTGGGAAACTGGATCCTTAAAGCAACAGAAGATGCTCCCAATGAACACTTTTCCTGAGAGAATTATGAGCCAGAAGGATACTAAGCAACAAGGTGAGAAACAAATGTGGTCCCTATACCAGCAGCATCGACATCAACTGGGCACTTATCAGAAATGGGAAACCTCCTGAGTCTGCCCTTTAACAAGATCCCAGGGGACTCGTGTGCACATTCAAGTTTAAGAAGCACTCACTGCTCGTGTCTGTAGACTCTGCTAGCAAGTTTTACTATATCCATTTTACAGAAAAGAAAACTGAGACTAAAGACACAAGTGAAAGAGAGAAGACTCAACTTACTAAAGAAATAAGAGGGGACATTACTACCAACAGGTGGTTTCAGGACATGCTACAATCTGTGGCACCAAGTATTCACAGTAGCCAAAAGGTGGAGACAACCCAAATGCCTGTCAACAGATGAATGGATAAACAAATGTGGTCTAGTCATACAATGGAATATTATTCAGCCATAAAAAGGAATGAAGTCCCAATACATGCTACCACATGTGGTATGCATGTGGATGAACCTCAAAAACATGATGCTAAGTGAAAGCCAGTCACAAAGGACCACAGATTGTATGATTCCATTTGTATGGAATATCCAGAATAAGCAAATCTATAGACACAGATGTTAGTAGATTAGTGGTTGCCTAGAGCTGGGAGGGAGGAGGGTTGAAGTGACAGATAAGAGGTGTGGAGTTGCTTTCTGGGGTGATGAAAATGTTCTAAAACTGATTGTGGTAATGGATGCACAACTCTGGGAATATATTAAAAACCACTCGATTGTACACTTTGGGTGAATTGTATGGTATGTGAATCATATCTCAACAAATCTGTTAAAAAAAATAACACACAAGCCGAGCATGGGAGGTGGGTGGCCATAAGGAGGGCAAGTGCCCTCCCCTACCAGCCTCCCGGAGGAGCCAAGATGCGAAGGTAAATATCTTTAATGGCAGGACATGTCTTCAGAGGTTCGCTGGGCAGGAAAGTCATGGGGCACTGCCCAGTAATCTGTATCCACCTTCCCCTCCCTCCACCCAACAGGTTAGGGACCCTCTGCCTACGCTCTGAGCACCTAAGTAACTTTTCTGAGGCCACACAGCTGGTGACTGGCATAGCCATGGTCAAAACCCAAGGACCCAACTCCCAGGCTATGACCCCTACTCCCTCCCACTAGCCACGCCTGGGGGCTCCTGCTAGCCCAGCTGATGGCTAGGAGGAATCGGTCCCTCGTGGTGTGTCCAGGGGCCGCTCACCTATAGCCCTCAGCACAGAGGCAGGAGTAGCTGTTGACTTCGTCCATGCACTGGGCCCCATTCTGGCAGCGGTGATCTCTGCAGTCATCCTGGTTCTCACTGCAGTTCTCACCTGTGTAACCTGGGGCACACTCACACCTGGGGCAGGCAGGGGTGGTGGGCGGTCAGCCCCACACTCAGGCCAGACCTCAGCCAGGAGCCTGTGGGGCCCAGGGGCTGGATGTGTGACAGAGAACCTCAAGGCGCTGTGGGTCTGTGGGGTCCCCAGGAGGTCAAACAGAGCCCCAGATATAAAGATGCCCCCAGCCCATCCTGGGACCTTTTTCTAATACAGGAAGAGAGCTTGTGTGGGCTTGGCTGGGGGAGGGACGGGAGGGGGCCGGCTCTGGGCTGGGAGGGTGGACACCAGCAGCTGGAGGAGATGGGAATCTTGTCACGGAGGACCCACCCTCACCACCAACAGCACGCCAAGGCCAAACTTCAGCCGCTTCTCAACTTGTGCGGCTGCTCCCCAGCGCATGGCCCTGCGTCACATGGGGCTCATCCATCCCTCTTCCCCAGCCTCCCCTACTCCTCCCAGCAGGCCTCCAGGCCCTCAGAAGTCTGTGAGCTCCCGCCTCCAGGCCAGCTCATGCTGTGCCTCACTGCTCGCCTGAGTCAGTCCAATTCTGCCAACCATTTGCCTATCAAAGAGCACACCCCTCCACCCCCTTTTCAGTCACAGCCTTGCGAGATGCTCCCTGTCCTGCTCCCCCACAGCAAGCCCACCCAGTGGTCAGACCTGTCTCCACTGGCAGCAACCCCCACCCCAACGACACTTCTCTGCCTCCACCCCTGTTGATTCTGGAATACTCTCTTGTCTCTCCCTGCCACAGTCCAGCCAGGCCAATACCTCATCTCCTCCAGGAAGCCTCTGGTGAACACCCCAGCTGTCACTGAGCAATCCCTTGCCAGAAACCTTTCCAAACTGCAAACTCCAAACTCCAGGGCTCAGCCACACAACCTGGCAGGTCGGTGCTCCTGCCTGGATGTTTTACTCATTCCTGCTGTTTTTCAAGCCATAAGAAATACCTTTCTACCCAGTATACACACACACACACACACACACACACACACACACACACACAATGACCAGTTTCATGCCATCATCCTTATCCTTACTGTATAAAATGGCATGATGCTTGTTGATATTGTCTTTTATTTTTTGATGTTAATCTTGACCCACCAGATTGATCACAATCCACTACAGGGTCTCCAGCTGCAGTCTGAAAAATGTTACAGTAGCTAAGCCACCCCCACTCACCCAGTTACACTCATTCTTTCATTCATTCAGTGAATGTAAACTGAATATTTGCTGGGTTCCAGGTACAACGCTGGGCACGGCTGAGAGTCTGTCAGTTCCATTTTCCCACCAAGACAGGACGCTGAGAGAACGTGCACTAGAACCCCACTGGGTGCTCATTTTCTTGTGGTGTGAGGGCAGCAGTTCCAAACTGGACAATGTGCAGTCCTGCTGTATTCCCCCCTCCGAGGTCCAGCCCCTCTGAGGAGAGGGCACGCCACGTGATCTGCCACTGCCCCTTGGTCTGCCGTGCCAAACCCACCAGCAGCTCACTCAGAAGTGCAGTGTCTGCCCACCATGTGGATGGAGGCTCCTGTGCAGCCCCTCGATCTCAGATCTGGGCCTCATAATCCCCCGGCTCTTGCTTCCCGCCCCTGGCCCTTGGGAAGCTCCTGCTGCACCGAGGGCTCCCTGGGGGACTCCACCCCCCACCCTGGCCAGGTTCCTCAGCCACAGACTCTACAAAGCCCTGTCCTGACCACCAGTGCTGCCCTGACTGGTGGATGCAAAAACCTGCAGATGGGAGCAACATTTTTAACACCTATGACCTTCATACAGCAGTCTTCAGGTGACCAAGCACTTCCGCATATGCCAGTAACAACAATAGTGACAACAGTCAACGACCCCTTATCCAAACCTCCTGGGGCCAGATAGGATTTCGGAATTCAGAATTCTCTGGATTTTGGAAACGTAATACAGTTCCTACAACTGTGTATTATGTACCATGCCAGTGGGATCTGGGGCAGCCCCTTAATCAAACATGTTCACATTTCTGCAGCAAAATCTATGTATGTTCACACTACATGGGATGAATAATGACTAAGTAATCTCGTATCAGTGCAGGTCAGCTTTTACTACCAAATATGTTCAGGTCAGATTAGATTTTACTATCAAATGGGGTTTTGGCTTTCAGAGTTTTGTAAATTTTGTCTCTGGGGATGAGAAATTGTGGCTCTGGAATGATAACAGCTATTTTTGGAGCACTTGTCTGACGTAAGACATGGAGCAAAGTGCTTTCCATGCATTTGCTCATCCGAACCTTAGAACCACCCCAGGAAGAAGCTACTGGTGCACCCAGTTTGCAGATGAGAAAACCAAGGCTCAGAGTGGTCAAGCGATCCATTTAGGGTCATGCTGTAAACCCAGGCCTGTCTGGCCACAAAGCGATGCCCATCACCACCCCCTGCATTGACCCTGTACAGCTGAGACCAAACCCACTCAACAGGTGAGGAATAGGATGGGGACGGGGAAGTGGTGGAGGGGAGGTGGCTTGCGGCCCGTGCCCTTCCCTGGCCCTGGAAACAGGCAACACTGACCTGGGCCCGTCTGGGGTGCCCACACACTGGGCCTCGTGCTGACACGGGTTCAAATCCAGGGAGCAGAAGTCCACCAGCTGCTCACAGGCCCTTCCTGGGGGAAGAACGAGGGAGAGGCAGGACAGAAGCTGCCCCCTGTGCTCCATCAGGCAGCCAGCCCAGCAGAAACCCCCTGCAGACAATGAGGCAGGGCCCCAGGTATTCTGCCCACGGGAATGGGGCTCAGGGGGTGTGCGTGGGCCCTGGCCTCCCTGACACTCGAACCCCCCAGGCTTACCCACATACTGCAGGGGGCATTGGCAAGTGTAGTTGCCCACACCGTCCACACAGGTGCCCCCGTTGGCACATGCGTGCTCCACACAGTCGTCCGTGTTCACCCCACAGGTCTGTCCTTCAAAGCCAGTGGGACAGGAACACCTGGGCGGGGCATGGGAAGAGGGAGAGGCAGGAGAGGCAGGTGGGCCCACAGCCCAGGCGGCAGCCTTTTTGAGGCACTGCTGGAAGCCTGGGGCCACCGGTCAATACCATCGTCCCAGAGCTTTGGTCCCTACTCCGGGCCAGGCCCTTGCTAGGTGCTGGGGGTTAGAGGTGAACAAGACGGGCCCTACACTCATGGGACTCACTCAGTCTAGTGGGGGAGACGATGAGGAGACAGGTGACCAGAGGAGAGGCGGTGAGTATCAGGAGGGTGCAACACCCTCCACCCGCTGGGGAGGGTGGACAAAAGGGCAGAGGACACCTAGCTCCTTCTTGGGAGGAGCGGTCAGGGCAGGCTTCCTGGAGGAGGTGATAAGTTAGCCAAGGACCCAGACAGGAAGAGGAGGGAAGGCTGTGGGGCAGAGGCGTGTGCAAAAGCCTCCAGTAGAGAGCCCTCTGGCCAGTCCTATTGGAGGGGACCGGCTCATTCAAATAGCTCAGGACTTAGGGAGGGCACACTTCAGGGATGGGGTGAGGACGGGGCTGGGGGTACGCAGGAGCCAGTGGTGGAAGGCCCTGGAGATCAGTGACCCTCAAACCCGAGTACACTTTCCCTTGGGGCACCTGGGATTTTCCAAGGGCTATGTGGGTCAGAGAGGTCTGAGAAATTAATTTCCAGATCTTCAAGTTCTGCACAAACTCTTCCCTAAATTGACCAGACCCAGAGCTCCAGGAAGGTGCAGGCACCTCTCTCGAGTCCAAGGTGGGCCATGCCTGGGGCCTAAAATCCTCAGGCACCAAATAAAGGGATAATGAGGAGTATTGATGTTTCCAAAGCAACGGAACAAATGCTTTTGCAAGTCAAGAGGTTTCCAGTTCTGTGCATTAAAAATAACTGAAGGAGGACCTCATGGCATTGTCAGCTGATAGAGCATTAAAAGTAATTTTTGATCACAGATCACTCTGGCATATAAACTTTGGCATATAAACTCAGAAGGATTTCAAAATAATTGAGTGACATGGCTACAATAAAACTTCTGATCCCATTGGTTTATTTATGTGAACCAATTTTCCCAGCATTTATAGCTATATATATATATATATAAAATATAATATATATAATAATAAAATATATATATATATTTTAAAAAGGAATAGATGGGCTGCTGAGCCCTCTCTTATTCTGTAATACTCAATCCTGGACACATGAACCGATTAGGAGAAAAGAACACCAAAAAGAAGCTCCATCTATCTCATGAAGAGATACAGTCTAATAAAATTTTACTTTTAGGGGCTGGCCCGGTGGCGGAGTGGTTAAATTCACGCACTGTGCTTTGGTGGCCCGGGGTTTGCAGGTTCGGATCCCAGGCACGCACCGACACATCGCTTGTCAAGCCATGTCAAGCCATGCTGTGGCGGCGTCCCATATAAAGTAGAGGAAGATGGGCACGGATGTTAGCTCAGGGCCAATCTTCCTCAGCAAAAAAAAAAAAAAAATTTACTTTTAGGTGTAATGATTATTAAATTTCGTAGTACAATTATGTTGTTTTGATCAATATACAGTATACTATTGATACAAAAAGGTTCCCTAAGAAGGCTAGGGGGGAAAACAGAGGGCTTTTAGTTGGGGACGATGCGATCAGCTTTGCATTTCAGAAGGTCCCCCCTGGTGGGGGTTGGGGGCAGGGCAGTGGGTGTGGTGGGCACAGGTAGGGGGTAACCCAGGAGGCCTTTGTAAGCCTCAGGGTTGAGGGGCAGCTCAAGGAGGCACCCCCCTTCTACCTAGACAACCCACACTGATGGCCCCCCGTAGGGCTGCTAGATGTGAAGGGGGCTTCTGCAACCCCCCAGCTGCACTCCCTCTCTGCCCAGCAGGGGGACTTTCTGGGGGGTGTCCTCTCAGCCCCCCACCCTCCACAGACTCCCCCCAGGAGTCTAGCAAAGGAGGAGGGGGACTTTTATGGAGCTGCTGCAAAGCCCAGAGGAGGAGGAAGCCTATTGTAAAGACGCCGTTTCCAAGGTGACGACCCGAGAGAGGCCGTTGAGTGTTTTCTTTTTTACATCTGGTAATTTGGGTTTGCAGAGACAGGTTTGGCCATTTCTGCAAGTAGATTCAACATCATTTTCTGAAGAGCCAATTTGTTCAGCTAGCAATTTATTTTCAGCAACTAAATACTATGTATTCCTCCGGAAAGCTCTGGGTCCAGGAGAAGGTTGGGGGTGCCTTGAGGGGTCCAGGGGAAGCAGGACCAGTGGAGGAGAGTCATGAGGCCCAGCCCTTCACTGAGTGGTAGGAAACGGGCTGCCATATGCAACCAGTGTGACCCATCAGTTGGTGGGGGGAGGCCCCACCTCTGGGCAAGTGAAGATTATAGGAGTTTAAAACGCCCCCAAACTGCCCCTTGGCACTGCCACTGCACATGCCCTTGGCCATGGATTCCCGGCGCCATCAAAAGACCCTCTTGGCACCTGGTAAGAGCAGGGAGAGGCCTGGAGCAGGAGGGGGCAGCACAGCTCCAAGCCCCAGTCCCACCCCTGCCTGCTGTTTGCCTGGGGCAGCCCCTAATCTCTCTGGGCTTCCCCTGCCTCTGGGCAACAGGGGCTTGGCCTGGGTGGGCGTGGTAAGGCCTCTAGTGAGGGCCTGCACCCCCTGAGCCTGCCCCCCATCTCCTCCCAGAGCACAGGGGGCCCTGGGCCATCCCATTTAGAGGAGGAGGGCACTGAGGCTTGGGTGCTGGACCTCATCAGCACCCCGCATACCAGGTTCCAGCCTCTCCAGGCAACTCACGTGAAGCCAGCATCCTCACCCTCCTGTGGGTGGCAGGTCCCACCGTTTCCACAGGGGGTGCTTGAACAGCTGTCCAGGGACACCTCACAGTCTCGACCCTGGGGAGAAAGGTCAGTGATGGGGACCCCAGGGAGACCCAGGGGCTAGTGTGAGCCAACAGAGACAGCCGGCCCCCTCAGCAGCTTGGCTCCCCTGTCCCGGGTGTTACTTGTTCATTCATTCATTCATTCATTCATTCATTCATATGTTCGGTCATTGATGAAATATCCCCTCAAGCGCCTGCTCTAGGCCAGGCACTGCTCAGGGCACTGTGGGCAGAGTGACAAGACAGACGCAGCCCTGCCTACCCTGCACACGAGCAGCCCCCCTCCTCCCCGCCTCCACTCACCTTATAGCCGCTGGGGCAGGCACACCTGTACACCTCGAGGGGGTCGTCATGGCAGGTGCCCTGGTTCTGGCACGGGCTGGACAAGCAGGGATCACACTTGGCCTGGACAGCCATGGTGGGGGGACCTGCGGCCAGGGGGAGGGCGTCAGTGCAGGCAGAGGGGAGGGCAGGGCAGGGCTGGCACAGAGCCCCTTACTCCCAGCATCCCAGCCCTGCAGGGCTGCGCTGGAAGCCCTCTCCCCGAGGAGATTTTTGCCCCTCCCTGTATTTCCTCTGGGTCTTTCCACAGTCCACCTCTCCAGCCTCCAGAACCCCTCTGTAAAAGGGGTTAATAACAGCCCCTGCCTCAGGGGCTATAAGAACTAAACGAGCTAATCCACAAAAAGCGCTTAACACGTGGGCACTGGACCCCTAAGGAGCCCCCCACCTGGTGGGCAGGGCAGGGCCATCAGCGTGCAAGTGTCATAGTCGCTGTTCTGACATTGGCTCTGGGTCCCCTCACACCCTTTTGAGGCAGCCTCCCCAGCCCTGTCACTCGCCGGCCAGGATAACGAGGGTGGCCGCCTCGGCAGAGAGGAGACCCAGCTTTGCGAGGAGGCCGTGCTTAAGGGGGAAAAGGTCCATTTGCCTTGAAGTTGTTTCTCTCCCAGGCTGAACGGGGAAGGACCTTTCCCATCACCTCTCCGGCCCCAGGCAAGACCTTCTCCAGCCCCTTTAGGACTCACTCGATGCTCTTCCCTAAACTTGGAGGTGGACAAGCCAGCAGCCAGGCTGCCTGGGGTGCCACCAGTGAGGGACATTAGGACTATTTATTAGAATAAATGGTAAGACCAGCCAGTTAACTCAGGTTTCCATGTAAGACTCCTTCTAGAAGTGGAGAAACATGGGTTCTGCTGAAGAGGCATGAGCATGAATAGAAGAATACTTTTCAGGGATAACTGAAGGCAGCGGGAGGGGACTTCTGGGGACAGGCGGGGCTCTGTTCTTGATCTGGGCACTGGTTACCTGGTGCATTCAGTTTGTGAAAATTCAGAGAGCCATTCACTTGTGATCTGTGTACTTTTCTGTTATAGGTGTTATATTTCAACAAAAAGTTAAAAAAAAAAACCCAAAAACCTCTCACCAGTACCAATCCCACCCCATTAAATAAATACTGAGCAAATGTTTCAACATAAATTAGCCTGCTCCCAACAGCCAACAGCCAAGCCACAGATGGAGCCCCTCTGAACCATTATTCCTGTGACAGCATCCTGCACACAGGGTGGCCTGGGGCCTCCTCGTTAACCTATGGCTGTTGGTTTCATTTCCGATGGTGGTCTATGAGCTTGCAGAGGGCAGGGGCTGTGCCCTGTGGCCTCCGGTGCCCTCCCCCAGCTGTCCCCCTGCACACGAAGCTGGGCCTGAGGCAGCCACTCGGCCACTTCCCTCTGCTCAGCAGGGCTCCCAAGGCTTGGGCCGTCAGTCCATCAATCAATCCCTGAGCAAGTATTTACAGATGCCCAGGGTGAGGTGCCTCCAATCACACTCAGGCCCTGGATTTCTGCAAATGTCAGGAGAGTGGCAGCTGGGTCCACTGGCTCAGGGCTTTAAACTAATTGCTGAGTACAATTCCTACCGAAGGGAGGACTGAGTGCTCACACTGCTGAGAGGCTTGGAGCTTCCAAAAACACTGCTGCTATTTTTACGTGCCTTACATAACCCCAGGGAGGGATTAAAGCCCTTATGGCCTGAGATTTTCTGCCTGGCTTTTTGTTCGTTGGAGGTCAGGACTAGAAGGCAGCCATGCTAACGAGCAGCAGGTGCCTCGTTCCTGCCACCTGACTCCCCCCTGCCAGCTGGTCACCACAGAGACACGGGAGTGTCTGAAAGACCCTGCCAGGGTTGGGCAGGTCCTGTGGGCCCCCTGCAGCAGGAGGCAGGGATCAACCGAGTATCCACCACCCCTCATGCTCCCGAGCTCACCTTGGCATTCAAACTTCTTGGCAGGCGTGGTGAGAAGCAGCTTGCCCTCCATGTCTGGGGGCCCGGCGCAGCGGGCAATGCCTGGCTCCTTGTAGCCTGTCTTCACCCAGCTGGACAGCCAGCGGAGGTGGCAGTCACAGTACAGGGGGTTGGCACCAATGGCCCTGGGTCAGAGAACAGAGAGAAGCAGGCATTACGGCTTCACGGGGTTCTTCACCCATTGGGCACCTAGGGTGTCAGGCACTATGCCAGGGGCTGGCAAAAATCCAGCAGCCCCCACTTCATGAGCATTTACTGTGTAGCCAGAGAAAGGGGGGAGGTGGGATTCGAACCTGTGCCGTCGAGGCCAGAGCCTATGAATGCTTTGCCTCCAGAGTGAATGGGGGAGAAAGGAACCACCATTTACCGCTGCGAAGAACCAGCTGCTTTTCTCACGTTAGTGCATCTAATCCTCTCAGCCCTGCAGCGTAAGTTTTCTTTTCTCCATCTCAGAGATGTGGGATCTGAGCCTCACGTGGAATAAGTAATTTCCCTGGGGTCACACAACTAATGAATGGCAGGCCCTGGATCCAGACCCAGAGCTGCCTGACTCTGAAGCCTATACTCTTTGCTTTTCCTTTTCCTTTTTAATTAAACAAGGAGCACATGAATGCATTCTCACTGTAAACCATTTTCAGACATTGCAGACAAAAGTCTCCACCTCACAACATTGTGAATGAAGGTTCGAACTGCCACTGAATTGTATACACTAAAACGGGTAATTTTATATTGTGTGAATTTCATCTTGATTTTTTTAAAAAGGCACATTCCTGTGTTACTGATGGGAGTGCAAAATGGTACAACCCCTAGGGAGGGGAATTGTGATATCTATCAAGTCAACCATGCAGTTGTCTTTGACCCAGCAACCCTGTTTCTGGGAGTCTCTCTCACAGATATACCTGCACAAGTGTGTCAAGATATCTGTGCAATGGTATTGATCACAGCATTGTTTGTAATAGGAAGACTGGAAACACCCCGTGTTCATCAATGCAGGAGTGGGTAAATAAACTACAATATATCCACATTACAAAAAAAAAGTCTACACCCACTGGTGCTGCCAACCACAGGACACATGGCCACATGATCACCATGCTCAGGCATGTAGCCTGCTGGTCCTTTCCCAGATTTACACACAAATTAAATCCATCCACCACACATCACTACTCAGCAGCTTGCTTGTGACTAAACAGCACGTCTTGGAGATCTTTCCAGGTCAGCATATATGGATCCACCTCATTTTGTCATACTGCTTCATAGCATCCCAAAGAATGGAGGCCTCACAGCTTACTGAGCAATTTCCCTGTTGTGAGACATTCTCATTGTTTCCGATGGCCGTGGACACTCTTGTATGTGCCTCTTTGCGAGGTGTGAGCACTTCCCTAGAACAGACACCTAGAAGTGGGATTCAGGTCACAGAGGAAGTGCACATAAAAAACGTTAACAGCTGCCCTCTGAAAAAGGTTGTATCCACTTACACTCGCCGGCAGCGTAAGGCCACGCCTGCTCCCTCACATCCCCGACCCAACACTGCATAGGGCCAGCCTCTTAATGTTTTACCAATCCAGTGGGCAAGCTTGTAATCTTCTCACTAACCACAGAGAGAGATTTAGAGATGAACAAGACGTGGATTTGGAGGCATGAAGGAGCCCGAGTTCTTTGATCCAGCAAATAGAAAGATCAGAGCATCCTGCCTGAAGTTCATTTACATCAACCTTATTTTGAAAATATAAGGCTGTATAATGTTAATGAGAATAGGTACACTTATTAAGTAACCCACGGATGCTCTGCCATTTTCCACCTGTTTCAGCTGAGCAATATAGAGGAAGTGGTTCCCCCTGAGATGCGAACGGTGTGATGAAAGCAGCATCGACTCTGAGGAGGAATTCCCCGAAATAGCACAGCAGATGACTGTGCGATCTTATAAAACAGGCTGAGCATGACTTGGACTCCGGCCCAGCGCAGCTGCTCACTGCCAGGGTGACCTTGAGCAGCTCGCTTAACATCTCTGGGGCTCACTTTATGATTCGATAAAGAGCCTGCAATCTGGAGAGGGGAGAAAGAGAAGCACATATAACCTAAAATGAGCACCGAGGGAATAATGCAGCTTGGAAAAGAAAGCCGGTTCAACCTCGACATGTATTTAATTTTTTTCCGTCCTGATTTGCTGACAGCATCCATCCTGGCTAATGGGACAGGGGAGACACCTTCCTTTTTCCACTGAACAGTGCCAGCACTTCTCAGAGGCACAGGAAGCTCAGATGCTTTGATTTTTTGAAGCTCCAATGTTTTAAAAAACAAAGATTTAAAAAAACAAAACAGGAATACAAAAATTATGGTATATTTAAAATGTTTACATTCACCAGATTAATATTTTTAACATAAAAAGTGCCAGGTAATATAATTATGTTATTCAAAAGATAAATATTGAATGCATTTTAAAATATTCTTTGTACTACACTGCAGGAGTGTGGTCTGGTGATGAGCCACAGGTTTCAAGTCTATTATGAACGGCTTCTTTCAGCCTTGTAGCTTATTTAGAGAAAATGCCAAAAAGACTAAATCTGAGGCCATTATGAATGGGGAGGCCCTTGACATGTCTTAGGATCTTCACAATTCCAATGCCCGCTTATATTCCCCCTTGAATGGTAGCAAAGTTGTACCTCAAATGTAAGTGTCCCTTTCTGACTCTTAATATAAAAATAATAATAAAAAAGAATAAAAACTACCAAAGTCAATATAAAGCTATTCAAAACTTTAAATTCTGGCTTGACCAACACATGCTTTCCTTGTTTCTGTACAGCGCAAACTCCGAGCCACACCTGAATTCAACATTTCAAGCTTTAATTCATCCAAAGGCTAGTCTCTTTTTTTGTTTGTTTCTGTTTTTTTGGTGAGGAAGATAGGCTCTGAGCTAACAGCCGTTGCCAATCCCCCTCTTTTTTTGCTGAGGAAGACTGGCCCTGGGCTAACAGGCATGCCCATCTTCCTCTACTTTATATGGGACACCACCACAGAATGGCTTCACAAGCGTTGCATCAGTCCATGCCCGGGATCCGAACCTCCGAACCCTGGGCCGCCAAAGCGGAGCGTGAGAACTTAACTGCTACACCACTGGGCCAGTCCCCAAAGGCCAATTTTTTGTGGCTACTTCAGTAGAACTAGTAGTCTGCTTTCACCTGGGGACCATTTTTCCCAGCAAAAACTCCCCAGTGAACTCCATGGGGAGTGGAGAGCCACAGGCCCAGCTGAGACGCAGGAGTGAGGATAGCAGCCAGGCCACTCATCAATCCAAAAGGACTGTGGATTCAGGTTCGTACTCCAACAAAGTATAAATAGCCCTGTGTTGTTGATCTTTGGTATAACTTGGAAGTAGTTGAAACAGTAGATATTCAGTATGTTCATACCAAGGCCCTGCTGGGCTTCTATTAATGTAACCGGGACCAAAATAGATTTCCTGTGGCTGTTCCACAGAGGCACCAAAGGTAGAGTTTAGCGTGTACTAAAACTTCAAAATCTCCTTCACCCATGCTGTACCTCCTCTGCCCACCTTCCTCTCGGGCAATTTATTTGTTTACATCACTGTCTCCTGGACTGAAGCTTCTTGAGCACAGGAACCATAAATCCCCCACTGTGCCTGACACCAGCAGGCATCCTATAAATGTTTGATGAATGAATGCCTGCCTAAAATCATGAGAAATGCACAAACCTCAGTATGAAAGCAAAGGAAACTCAAAAAAAGAAAAAAAAAGAATCACCTATCATCCCATAAATGTAACTAATTTAATTTTCATGTATTCCCTTCCAGTTCTTATGTTCATCTGTGTACTCCATTGAAATCAGAGTGTACCATCTTCTTTATTCTGTGTTTTCATCAAATAATAAATGAAAGTGCCAATAATTATCATAATTAACTACTTGCTGCTCTGTCACACGGGCATACCATGGTTTATTTAATCACTCCATATTCACTTTTCACACCGAATTCTTAATGTGTTCAGAAATCTAACTTTCCAGTGTGCAGCAGATAAGAGGCAATGAAATGCCAGATTATAGAAATGAAGAATGACACTGGGAAACCTTGGCACACAGCAAATATATACTGATGGATAGATGGATAGATGCATGGATGGATGGATGGATGAACAGACGAATGGCGAAAGATGAGCTAACTGCAAAGTAAATGTAAAAGTAAACAGCAGCAGAGAGATATGCAGGGTATTGAAGCCCAGGGCAGTGAGGAGCACTCACAATCATTAAGGCATGTTAGAACCATAGTGGACCTTAAAAATAACCTTTGTACAGGCAAGGAAAGAAGCCTAAAGAGATGAATAAATTGTCTGAGATCCCAGTGCAAGCTATGGCAGAACAAGGACCTAACACCAGTTCAAAGGGTTAAAATATGGCGGACCTCACCCTCCACCACACCCTTGGCCCACCCACCCACTCTTCTGCACACTGCCAGAGAAAAGGAGAGGCCCAGGCCAGGGTCACAGTAGGAACAGAGGGCACCTCCAGGGGCCAGGAACACTGGATGCTAATTCTTGAGAAACCCCTGACTTGTTATGGAGCCACGGGCACATCCCTCCCTTCGGATTGCACATGGCCTTTGTGAAGCTGAGAGTGAATGCGGTGAGTCTCTGCCATCCTTTTACCATTCCTTGCCTCCCTGTGAGTACTCAAGAAATCCTTAGGGGAGAGTTGCAGCTCTGCCACACAGAGGAGATAATGGACACAGGTATGCACCTACACATGTATTCCATCAGTACTGCACGTGCAAACACCTGAATACAAGCACATATACATCTCCCACATCACTGCCTAGTCCCATTTGAAACTGGGTATAGAGGGCAGAGTTTATTCACGAGGTTGCTTCATAATAATGGAAGATTTCTTTCACATAGATGCTGTCTTGTAGAGAAACGGGGCTTAGATGCAATGAACTAACACATCTAATCAGTAATGCTGATGCCCTGTTCTACAGTTACTGCTTAATTGATCTTTACTTATTGGTTTATTTCTTACAAATTGGATCTGACCTCTGGCCTGATGTCACTGTTCTCCTAAAGAAAGTCTGAATTTATAGATAGGTGTGGGCTCAAAATTTGTTTTTGTAGCTTTGGGTTTTTTTTGTTTGTACAAAACATATGTTGTTTGTTCATTTCCCATTTGAAAAACAAAGCCTCTCGATTTTGAGCTGGAGACAAGATCAGAATGTACTTGGGTATCGTTCAGTTTTCAGAGGGAAAGAGGAAAGGTGGGCAACTTTACATGTAAACCCCAAGCATAAGAGATACACAAAGGGGGAATCTAAAGGTGGGAAAGGGGGACCGAATGCTTGAAAAGGCCTTGCCTGCCAGGAGGAGAGCTGAAGCAGATGCTTGGCATAGCCCAGGGAAAGCAAAGGAGGCTGCATGGGCCCAGAGCAGCAGCAGACCTGGCGCCCAGCAGAGACGGGTGCAAATGCTCTCTGGAGAGAAGTAGCTCCAATTTCAGTCCTCGGAATTCCTTACATCAGCAAAAAATGAGCTCACAACCAAAAATTACCACAAACACAGATGGAAGCAAGCCCCTGTGAATGGGCACCATCAAGAGCAATGAACAACACTGTCTCTGCCAGAGGCACCATCTCCAGCCAGGCTCCTTCCTCCCGCCCATCCCATCCAGCCTCCACATGTCACCATGCCTTTCCAGGAGTTTTCTACAGCTTAATTCTCCCACAATTCCCTTCTATCTATAGAATAAAGTCCAAACTCCTTAGCGTGGCACAAAAAGGCACTTCACAACAGAATTCCCATGTCCCTTACCATATTCATCTTTTCCCACCTCACACTCCTCACCCAACCAAACCCCTTACAGCCTATGCTGGACAACATAACATCCCTGAATATGTCATTTACTTTCTTGCATTCATGTCTTCTCACATGCTGTTCCCTCTTCCTGGAATGTCCTTCCCCATCTTCTCCAAATGGCAAACTCCTGGTCCCTTTCCAATGGCAGCATAAATGGCATCTCCTCTGTGAAGCTCTTCAGACTTCCCCAGAGTTAGTCACTGCTTTATAATATCTCAGATGATCACAGAGGGCAGAAACCTTGTGTTAGTACATTCTTCAGCACTTGACTCACTGGGGTTACTCAGGACATATTTATTGAGGCAATAAAGAATAAATAAAGAGCTTTGGAATCAGACACGCCTAAGTTCAAATCCTGTCTCTGTGATTTCCTAGCTTTATGACCTAGAGAAGCTCCTTAACTTTTCAGAACCTGGGACTGTAAAATAGAGATAATAAATCCTACCACCTAGGACAGAGCGCCTTACTCCTTCCACTCCCCTGGCAGACATCACTAATCAATCACTGCGCTCTTCCCACCATATCCATGGAATCTTCAGTGCAGGCTCAAGGCAGTCCCTGTCAAGTCTGTGGAGCTGGCGCACAGCACAAAACCTACTTCCCATTTTGGTCACGGAGTAAACACAACACCACAGATAGAGTATTCACATATAGTAAAGTATTTGTCCCAAGCACACCCTCAAGGAGTGGCACTTAATTACCACTTTATTTCTTCAAGTCACATTGTTAGACGTACTACTGATTTAATGTGCTTTGGGAAGGGTGGAAAGATATTACCATATTAAATATACAGATCATTTGTAAGATACACTCTGATTTTAGAGATTAAAATGTGGAAAAGGTGAGTCATAGAACGGAGAAAATCTAGTGAAACGGTTGAGTGAATGACCTTCAATGAGTGAATGATCTTCAAGTAGAGGTGCTGGGACCCCAAAAGGCTCTGATCTGGGTGTGCCGGCCCCTGCAGGTCCCAGGGCCTTGGCTGTCGGGGAGAAAGAAGGAGGACATGGTAACACCCAGGGGCACAGCTGCCATCCACCTGGCCTGAACACTGCCTCGGCCTGAAGCGGAGATGCTGAGAGAGAATGTGTCCACTCTGTGCCTGGCCCAACCTCCAGAATGAAGATGGCCCTGCCACGGCCCATTGCTTTTTTATTTCTTTTTGTGTGTGTGTGTGGTTAAATATATATAACATAAAGTTTGCCATTTTGAGTGTACAATTCAGTGGCATCAATTACATTCACAGTGTTGTGCAACCATTACCATTATCTGGTTCCAAAACTCTGTCATCACCCTAAACAGAAACTCTGCACCCATCAAACAAAAATTCCCCAGTCCCCCTGCTCCCAGCCCTTGGCAACCACCACTGTCCTGTCTGGAGCTATGAATTTGACTATTCTGGGTCCCTCACATCAGTGGAACCATACAATATGTGTCCTTTTACGTCCTGGTTATTTCACTTAGCATGTTTTCAAGGTTCCTCCACGCTGTACGTGTATCAGAACTTCATTCCTTTTTATGGCTGAATAATATCCCATTGTCTGTATATACCATATTTTATTTATGTGCTCATCTGTCAATGGACACTTGGGATGTTTCTGTTTTTTAGCTATTGTGTGAATAATGCTATGGACCTGTGTGTACAAGTATCTATTTGAGTCTCTGCTTTCAATTCTTTTGAGGGTATACTTAGGAATGGAATTGCTGGGTCATATGGTAATTCTATATTTAGCTTTTTGAGGAATCAAGTGTACTGCATTTCAAGAATCCTCATGGTGCTGCCAACTAAATGGTTCCGGAAGCAATTCTATGTCCAGTTATACCACTTCTTGGGGGCAGGAAATTTTCGGAACTTATCCCCCACCACGTGACATCAGAGGCACAATACTGGTGTCGTGCTTAGGAGCAAGGGCTATCAAGACAGAAGATTCCAGCCCCACTTGCTACGCAATTTTGAGTGACCTTCTCACATTTTCTGGTCCTGTTTCCTCATGTGTAAGATGGGAATAACATCACCTATGTTGTAGGACTGCTGTGAGGATCAAACCAGCTGATGCAGGTGAAGTGCTTGGCAACCAATAAATGGTCATTACTGCTATTATTATTGCTCGTGAAGAATTGTTCTCAAATCCCATTGTTGCAACTGATGAAACATGGAATGTGTAAGAGTCTGAGAGGGGAAGCATTTGAAGTTTACAAGCTTAATTAGTTTCAGGGTAAAAGCAACAAACTCGGACAGTCTCAGGAGGTGGGGTCTTTCCTGGAATCCAAGTTCTGTGTAAATCCAAAGAGGCCTCAAGAATTGGGCCGGAGTTACTCACAGGTGAGACAGGGAGGTCACGTCTGCGAAGATGCCCTCTCGGAGGGTGGAGATGTCATTGCCATGCAGGGATCTGAGGAGAGAAGAAGCTGTCACTCCCTCATCTAGAGAGAGAGAGGGACATGAGAACTGATGGGGGGCAGGCACAGCCCTCTGCTGAAAGGGACTTGGCGTCTTATCCTTCAGATCTCTCAGTCTATGGGGGAGATGGCCCCCAGCACAGAGACCCTGCCCTGCTGGCCACCAGCAAGCAAGAGGGAGCCCCTAATAATCCAAGTAGATGACCCTGCCCCTCAGCCCTTTGGAGGACTCTGCTTTTGCCATCATAAATAACCAAGCACCATTTCTGTTTACATGACACATGGAACGTGTGCAACCATGTGCCCTCCCTCACTTGGCCCAGGAGCCTGAGGGAGTAGGCTTCTTTTTGGTAAGGAAGTTACTATGGGAAGCCATAGGTTGGGGGTGAAGAATGTCACCTTGCCCCAGGAGGGGCTGCCAGAGCATTCTGCTGCATGGATACAAGAGAGGCCATCATAACAGGCGTGACAGAGGGCTTTGATCACAGGGCAAAAACTTCGCAGTGGGAATTCTTAGAAAAGGTTCATGAATCTCTTGCAAACAAACACTCTCCATCTGAACAGGAGAGTCACAAATGAGGGGCTAGATTATCTTGGATGCCCCCCCACATTACCCACCCACACAATCACCCCAAACACGACTTGGGGCAGACAGCAACCCCTATTCCTCAGATAGTTTCCCATTCATTCCTCGGCCTCCGTTACTTGAATGAGAGTAGACTAGCCTCCCACCTTTCGACATAGTTGGCCTTGCTGGATCCCCAGATGTGGGGACATTTCTGCCTATCAGGTGGGGGGCAGGGCCCTCAGTGGGGCAGATTTCCCTGGAGGAATGCAGAGCAGGGAGACTTACAGCAGGCGCAGGGAGCGCAGGCCCTGGAAGGCCAGAGGAGGGATGCACCGGAGGGCATTGTAGCTGAGGATCCTGTGGAAGGGAGGGAGGGAGAGGAGAGGAGGGAGGGAGGAAGAGGGGAAGAGGGGAGGGGGGGAGGGGAAGGAGGAGGGAAGGAGGAAATGGGGGGGTGCGGGCGGGGAGCGTGGGAAGGGAGGACGCAGTGTTACCACCCAGGCCCCTGCAGGCCCAGCTAAGTGCTCAGGATGCAGGGGTAGTTTTGCTCAGCAGCTGTGTGAGGGAGGCCGGGCAGTGAACGAGAGCGTGGGCTGAGGCTCTGGCCCAGTAAGCCGAGCTATCTCAGGCATGTCCCCTAACCTCTTTATGCCTCAGTCAGTTCCCTCGACTAGAGAAAAGGGACAAAAACAATGCCAACTTGATAGGCTCATCTGCTGGTTAAAAGAGACCCCCCAGGGGAAGCTCCCAGCAGGGTGCCTGGCTCCCAATAAACCCTCAGTCGCGGAAGCCGCTGCTGCTGTCACGAGGCTGACAGCATTCCCTCGTGGAGGCTGCACCAGCTGTGGCAACAGTGGGCTCTGTGAAGTTGACCCTGACCAGCACCCCCTCCGGAGCGTACCCTCTCAGCGCATCACTTCCAGAGCGGACAGCGGACGGCCGGATACATATAGCAATTTACCATTTAGGAAGCCGTGATGGCGAGGAAGGGGCTGTTACAACTTCGTCTGACAGATGAGGAGACAGGGGCTCTGCAAGGTGCAAGAACTTGCCCAGGGCCACGTTATTATGTTAGTAAGCTGGGTTTTCATGCAGTTTCTCAGTTTCCAGAGTCCACAGGCTAAACCAGTCTCCCCAAATGCTTCCAAATAAATGAATCCATCAAGGGCAGACAGGCAGACTGACAACAAGGGAAATGATACTTGTAGCAGCCCCCAGTGGAAACAGCCCAAATGTCCATCAGCGTATGAATGGATGAACAAACTGTGGGACATCCATACAATGGAATACTACTGGGTGATAAAAAGGAGGGAACCACCAACGCATGCAATAACATGGACGAATGTCAAAATAATTAGGCTGGCTGAAAGAAGCCAAACAAAAAAAGGGTACTATTGTATGATTCCATTTATGTAAAACTCTAGAAAATGCGAACTCATCTATAGAAAGCAGACTGGTGTTTGCCTGAGGCTGGGGGCTGGGAGGGGCGGCGGGGAGGGATTATTAAGGGGCACCAGGAGACTTCTGGGGTGATGGAAATGGTCACTATCTTGATTGTGGTGATGATTCCATGGGTGCAAACATAAATCAAAATCTATCAAATTGTACATGTTAAGTATGTGCAGTTTATTGCTTATTAATTACACCTCACTAAAGCCATTTTTAAAATAATAAGAGACATAAGACGTTCCTATCGCAGGAAAGGGCTCTGTTTCCCGTGCAGCTGCAGGATCACCTAAACCAGGATGTCTCAGCCTCCGCACTACTGACAATTTTATCTTGGGGGGCTGCCCTGTGCACTGTAGGATGTTTAGCAGCAGCCCTGGCCTCTACCCATGAGATGCTGGTAGCTACCCCCACCCTCCTCCAGCTCTGACAACCAAAAGTGTTTCAGACATTGCCCAATGTCCCCCGGAGGACAGAATGGTCCCTGGTTGAGAACCACTGCCCTAGACCATGGCAGCTTCACACACAGGCTCATGAAGACTTCGAAACGGGAACCTGGGGCTGGTAGAGCCTGGGGCTGGTAAGCACAGGTGGCTAACTTGGAACCAGCACTTCACGGCCTCGGACCCACATTCTGCTCCTGGGGGCCTGGCTGGGTCAGGACCCCGTCTGGCTCTACTGTTTGACTGCAGTAGAACCTAATGGAAAATTTTAAGTTCTTGACACATTTTCTGTATAATGAGATGTAGGGAAGGTGAATGAGATACACTCTCAAGCTCCAGACAAATATATGCAATGCTTGTTAATACTTTCCAATCAATTACTTGGAATATAATTAAAGCAATCACTAAAATATCTCAGAATCTGGGCACAAAAATGTTCAGAGGGTCACTGTTCACAAGAGTCCAAACTGGAAACAACCCAAATATCCATCAATAGTAGGATGGATACGGGAAGTATGGCCTATTCCTACAAGGAATACTATATAGAAATGAACATGAACAGACCACAGCTTCACACAACACGAGTGGATCTCACAAACATAATAGCAAAGAAAAGAATAAATGCTGTAGGAGTCAATTTATATAGGGTTCAAAAATGGGCAAAATTAAACTTCATTGTGTAGAAATGATATGGAGATGGCAACACTATAAAGAAGATCAAAGAAGAGATCATCCTACAAGTCAGGGTGGGGACTGCCTCGGGGTGGGGGGGAAGGAGGGATAATGAACAGGAAGGGATGGGGGGACTTTTGGGGTGCTAGCTGTGTTCTATTATTTGCTTTAGGTGTTTACACTTGTGCTAGCTTTATGATGATTTGTTAAAATGGACATTTCTATTTTTGCACTTTTCCGTATATATGCTGTATTTCACAATAAAAAATGTTTTTAAAAGTCTTTTCAGGGGCCAGCCTGGTGGCATAGCGGTTAAGTTCACGTGCTCCGCTTCGGTGGCCCGGGGTTCCGATCCTGGGTGCGGACAGACACACCGCTTGTCAAGCCACGCTGTGGCGGCGTCCCACATAAAGTGGAGGAAGATGGGCACAGATGTTAGCCCAGGGCCAATCTTCCTCAGCAAAAAGAGGAGGATTGGCAACGGATGTTAGCTCCGGGCTGATCTTCCTCACACACACACACACAAAGTCTTTCCAGCTGGCAGCCCTGGCACACTCCCTGGTGGGTAAGAGTCTGCATGCTGCGAGTGACCATTACTGAAGGGGTTTGGGGAAAGTCTCAGTGGCCATAGCTGTGTGCCCTCCCCTCCTCCCCCGCCCTGGGACTCACAGGGTGGTCAGCTGGCTCATGTTGGTGAAGGAGGAATTGCTTAAGGAACTGATCTTGTTGTTACTCAGGTCCCTGGAAAAGACAAAAGCATCATCGTTTAGAAAGAAAGAACTCAACCCTGGCTCTCTGCTATGGCTCCTCCCCCTCCCTCCCTCTCTCCCAGCCAGGTGGGCCAGTGGCTCCGACTGGCACTCCAGGGGTGTGGGGAGGGGGTGGAGAGGGGCACGTGCTTCCCAATTAGCAACAGCCCTCCACTCTACTCCCTGAACTCCCTCTAGGTCCCCGGGCTTCACAGCTCCATTTCCTCACCCCCCACGCCATGCAAGGATAGCCTGGCTCCAGCCCCCTTCCATCATGGAAATGCTCCCACCAAGGGCATCAGCTGCCCCCAACTGCCAGATCTAGTGGGTGCTCTCTCTTGCTAGCACTTTACGTAGACTGGTTCACTAGCCCTCCCTACAAGCCTATGGGGGAGATAGCAACCCTATTTTGCAAAGGAAAGCACATGGTCTCAGAGTGGTGAAGTAACCCACCCAGGGTCACACAGCTGCTAGGAGGAAGAGCCAGATTCAAACCCCTGTCTGTTGGCCCCTAAACCCCAGGTCACTGCAACTACTCTCAGCGTTACCCTGCAGCATTTGGCACAACTGACCACGCTCCTCTCAAACCTTTCACCTCCCCCTCTTTCCTCAGACCCCTGACTGTCTTCCCGCTCTCCCTTCCTCTCTGGCAGCGCCTCCTCGGTCTCCCGGCCAACGCTTCTTTCTCACTCACCCTGAGGCATGGGGATCCCTAAGGCCCTACTTCATTCTCTCTCTTCCTTTAGTCCACTCTGGCTGCCCTCGGGATGCTCCTGGCTTCCCTCACCATCGTGTGCTGACGGGGCCCTCCTCTGTGGCCCCAGCTGGCCCTCTCTCATGAACTCCCCTCCCGAGACCTGATGTCCCACAGACACTCAAACTCGAGTCCACATCCTGCACTTTCTCCCACCCCCGTGCCCTGTGCTGCACGCCCCAATCCCGGTCAACAACTCCGACAACCTAGAAACACCGCCCTACCTACATGTCCTCTCAGTCCCTTGTCTTATCCATTGGCTTGTGCCTCTGTTCATCTGTCACATCTGTCCCCTCCCCCTAAGTTTCCGCTTACGTCAAGCCACCATCACCTCTCTCCTCACACTGTGTCTCAGACTCTCACCTCATCTCTCACCCACAGCTTTGCCCCCTTTTGATCCATCTTCCACATGGGCGGGCACCTCGGCAATCTTTCTATGACACAGATCTGACTAGGTCACTTCCCCACCAAAAAACCCACAGTGCAAACTCCAGACCCCTTAGCCTAGCCACCTGCCAGGGGCTCCAGGGTCTGGCCCCACCTCTCCTTCATTGCTCCCCACATGCCTTGGATGGATTTGCCTCTGGATATCCTGTTCCCTCTGCCCCCCTCAATGAACTCTTTTTTTTTTTTTTTTTTTTTTTTAAAGATTTTTTTTATTTTATTTTTCCCCCCAAAGCCCCAGTGGATAGTTGTGTGTCGTAGCTGCACATCCTTCTAGTTGCTGTATGTGGGACTCGGCCTCAGGATGAACGGAGAAGTGGTGCCTCGATGCGCAACCGGGATCCGAACCCGGGCCACCAGCATCGCAGCGCGCGCACTTAACCACCAAGCCACAGGGCCGGCCCTACCCCCTCAATGAACTCTGACTCTCCCTGAGCCCCCCACCCTGGGTTCATCACCCCCCACTTTGAGCCACAGCCCTCATCTGCATTTACCTCTGTTGGAACACTCATACTCCCCACGACCTCATGTGCTCCCGTTTCTCCCTTCTGCCTGCCCTCCAGACCAGGACACTCGGGGGGCAGGCCTGTGACTTAGGGGCGTTCATATCTGCTCACTTCATGCAGCTCTTGGCTCAGTAAATGTTTGCAAAATGGATCCATGTGCCCTGCCTTCATTTCCTCTTAGTAAACATTCCTCCAACCAATCTCATGCAGAATCGTTCCACTGTTCCCAGAGACACGTTTGAGTACTTCACTGAAGGTTCAGTACGCTTTGTGGCCCTTCCTCGTGATGAAGAGGTGGTGGTACTTCAGCCCCCGACAGGCAGTTTCCTAATAATAACTGGCCTGACACTGGTCCTCTTTCCCTCCTTTCCTCCTCAAGTGTCTCCGAGCCACTAGTGGAGCTGCCTCAAATTATACCAAAGAAAGGTTGTCTTTCTCTTTGGCACTCTGTCACCAGCCACCAAATCACTACCCACCCGCCAGTGGAAGAGTCAAAACACATTCGCTAGGTCATTGGCAAAGACAGATAAACCGGAGCTTCCCAATTCTGTACACCAGCGCTACTCAAAATGGCCAGTCCTTGAACAGACTGTCCCACAGCAAGGAACCTGTGCCAAAATGCAATTGCCTATGGCACTAAACACACAACTAGCGTAGGTAACATATTTTTCATAGCAACACTTTCTCAACGAAGGAAGCAATATGTTGATTTACATTCTCGTGCAAGTTCCTTATCTAATTGTGGACGCACTATGGACAGTTCTCGGGCTGCTGTTGACCCATAGACCACATTTTGAGCAGCAAGCCACACTAAGATGGAATGTTCTCTGGACTTCTTTTTGGTAGAATCTGGCCAGTGAGCAGATAAAGACAATTGAAGTGAGGTGTTAATTAGGCTGGAAGGCTAAGAGGAGCTGAAGTTATGCTGAGGCTTATTATTTATATTTTCATGGGGTGGAAAGAGTGAAAGGTGGAAATAACAGAAAAGCAGATGTTAGCCTAAAGAAAACCTTAGTTACAGATGTGTATCGTAGCTGCCATATTTCATATTCAGTTTGAGGGCCAAGGGTGGACCTAGTTTCCCATCACTCTCTGCTTCTGCTCTGGCTCCCACCTTTGCAAGGATGACCCACATTAACAATAATTACCAGCCTAGAAGAAGGCTTGGGGAGATGCTTGGGCAGAAGCAGACAGGGTCCCACCCAAGGGAGCCTAGAACAATGCAATTCCCAAGAATGACCACTAGGTGGCAAAACAGCTCTATGCACAGTTGTTCCCAGAGGGAGGGGGTGAAATTTTAAAAATGGGATCAGCCAGAAGTGGGTCTGTAGGGAATTCCAGGAAAGCTGGAGCCATGACCGTTAGACGGCAATGGCCCTCCTGTCCTCTGAGGCAGGTCTGGGATCCTCAAGCAGCCTGGATACTCACACAAGCTGCAGGTACTTGAAGGTGGACAGCTGTCCCGGAACCAGTGTGAACTGGTTCCCGTCCAGGTAGCTACAGGAAAGAACACAAGCAGTTAGTGGCCATGTCGGCCTCCGGCAGTGCCAGGGCTGGGAAAACATCTCCCTGCAGCCCGGGCCTTCTCTCTCATCTCCTCTCCTACAGGAGGTCCACATAGTTGGCCAGAATTGCTAAAGGAAGGAGAAAATGCGTAAATTTCTTAGGCCATTTAGGTAGGTGCCACCTAAAGAACTTGGTAAAAACCATGGAGACATGAAGCCTCTCTTGGCTTCCTTCCCGCCCCCCTGCCTCCCCCCTCAGCCTCCTCTTGGTCAGTGGGCACCACCCAGGGCTCAGTCCCGGGCCCCCTGCCCTTCCCACTCTGCTCTGCAATACTCCTGGCCAAACAGATGGATCTGCACGTACATATGTCTCAGGTCCCCCTGCCAGGCCCCCACCAGCTACAAGGCCCCTCTCTAGCCGCTGGCAAGATGCGTGAGGCCAGTCCCATGGAAGCCCCAGGCCCAAACATGCCCAACCTGAGCTTGGTATTTCCACACCCAAACCGGCTTCCCTTGACTCCATCAGCATCACACTCATGCTCCTATCCACCCAGGCTCAGGACCCCGACGGAGATTCTCCACCTCCCTCTGCAGCCAGTCCCGTAGCCGCCAGCTTCTCCTGCCCACTAGTCTCTCATCATCTGCTTCTGTTCTGCTCTCGCATCTCCCCTGACTGTACGCCGTCACCCATGCCTGGGCTCCTCCTTCTCTTCTCCCCACTTTGGCCTCCCTTCTGGGACTATACACCCTGCCACCCTAGTCATTGTCCTTCAAGCCAAGCCCACCAAGAATCCTCCCAAAGCTTCCCAAGCTTCCCCATATGTACAGGGTAGAGCTTGGGATTCAAGATGCTGTGAACTTGCCCTTCCCTCCCCCCACTGCCACCAGCCATCCTTGCTAAGCAGTGACCCAAGGACCAGAGCTGAAGCCCCAGGTGGGCTCCCTGCACAGGACCCACCAACTGCAACCCTCAGGACGGCTCTCCCCCATCCCCAAAGATCCAGAGAGCAGCAACCTCAGGCTTCACTCACCCTGACCATCACCCTGTGTCCTACAAAGGGACTGCCCGCCCTTCTCATTTGATCCTCTCAGCGGCCCTTGTGAACATGCCTGAGTAGCCCCATTTTACAGCTGAGGAAACTGAGGCTCAGAGAATTCAAGTGATTTTCATGGCCTCTGCACTTCAGCATCCTCAAAGACGGCAGGCTGTCCCACCCGCCCAATTATTCTCAGGGTTGCAATGAGGCACCAGGGAGGAAACAGGGACACTAACACTGTGATAGAAAACTATGCATGGAACAGGGAAGGAGAGTCACAGGATGAGGACCGCAGTGGTTGATGTGCTTGCGAAGAAGGCCAGGCTTGCTGGTAATGAAAGAAATACAAATGAAAACCTCCTGCGCTCCCCACAGGGAAAAGAGAGGCTCCACTACGGAGGCCCAGAGGGACCAATCCCAGGGACAGGAAGAGTCGGGACTGGCCAAAGCCTTTCGTTTAGAGCTGTCTGTTGAAGAAGCCCTGCTCTGCATCCCTCTGTCTGTCATATACGTTTACATCCACACACCCACAGGAGCTCAGATACCAAAGCCAAATCAACAAAGATTTTAGCCCCACAACACCCGGTGTTGATGGTCGGCAGTGGCGGGTAAGAAGACCATTCCCACACAGGGCTGGTGGGAGTGCAAAGGAAACAGGTTTTCTGGAAGGCATCCGGCAAAAGGCAGCAGGTGTCCTAGCAACATAGTGCTCTTTGACCAGCAGTTTCACTGAAGGGATGTTCACCTTGATGCTATTTATGATAGTAAAAAATTGGAAACAACTTAAATATCCAACAAAGGGGGATTTGTCATAGAGATCGTAGTAGATTCATGTCATGGAATATTATGCGACCAGTAAAAATAACTTTGTGAGAGTTTTCATGACAGAGGGGAATGCTCATGAAATGATGTGAAGTGGAAAAAGCAATGTTATTTCTTATTTTAAAGGCAGAGCTTAGTTTAAAGGGATGAAGCGCTCACCATGGGTGACTCACGCCATCAGGTGACTGCAGAGGGGGGTCAAGGAAAAGCTCAAAGCCTTCTTGGAACCAGTGTCTCCTGCAAAGCCCTAGCTCCAAGCTCCCAGTCACCTGATACCTGCTCTTGGTCACCTTCGCCTCCGGACGCCAGGCCTTGGGTTACTCACAGTTCTGTGACGTTCTTGGGGATGCCCTTGGGCAGGGCCTGGAGATGCTTGTTGCTACATCGGACCACGGTGTCCAGGCAGGCACATTCCTGGGGGCACTGTGGGCGGGGCAGGCAGCCCCCCTCCTCCTGGCCTGAGGAGGAAAGCAGGAAGCCACATCCATGAGGGGTCAGGCCTTCTTAGGGCCTCCTGCAGCCAGGGCCCCACTCCAGGGCGCCTCAGAACAGAAGCCCCTCTCTGACACTACCTCATGCACCAGCAGGTCTCCTCTTGACTGCACCCCTCCCCGACTAAAGCCTCTTGGGCCTGTTTTGAGGTTCTCTTCTGCCTCGGATCCAAGGTGGCCCTGGGCACAGCAGAGGAGGATGGCAGCCACATTTCTCGAGCACCTACCATGTGCCGGACACTGTACCTCAACATAATCTCCCTAACAATGCAGTAAGGGGTGCCACTATCACCCCTAGAATGCAGCACCATGAGGAAAGAGACTTGTGTCTTTTTTTTTGCTGAGGAAGATTCGTCCTGAGCTAACATCTGTGGCCAATCTTCCTCTATTTTGTATGTTGGTCGCCACTACAGCATGGCCGCCAAGGAGTGGTGCAGGTGTTGTAGATCTGAACCTGCGAACCCAGGCCGCCGAAGCGGAGTGCACTGAACTCAATCACTAGGCCATGGGGCCGGTCCCCAGAGACTTGTGTCTTTTTCATCTTCTTTGTTCAGTCAAGGAGCCCAGCGCCTAGAGCAGGGCCTGGCACACAGTAGCCCTCAAAACAGATCAGTTGAATGAATGAATGAATGAATGAATGAATGAATTTCCATTTTACTGAGATCTGGAGAGGTTAATAACTTGCTCAGTTCAGAAGGCTGGTCAGAGGCAACGCGGGGTCTGTACCCAGGTCTGGGTGACACAGAATCTGAGCTCCTCTATCACACCATCCTTCTTCAATTCATTCATTTATTCAATAAATATTACTGAGCACTCTCTGTGTGCCTTCCTTTCTTCTGATTGGGTGTAGGAGGGACGATAAGGACACCACGGTCACAGCTGCTGAAAGCGCTAGGAAGCAGGTGACAGTGACTATGGGTTATGTGCAGGCACCGCATGATAAGGATGAACTCACTGAGTCCTCAGAATCTCTCTCTGGGGGATGTGCTACTATTAGCCCACTTTAGAGACGAGGCAGAGCGGTTGAGCAACTTGCCCAAGGTCCCCCAGCCAGAAGAGGTGGCACCAGGACTGGAATCCAAGCCAGCTGCCTCGGGAACCTGCCCTCCTGACCACTGCGTTCTCCTGCCTCTTGGCAGCAACGTTTCAAAAATGCTTTCATCCTTTCACTTCTAGGAAGTTATTCTAAGGGGAAAACCGCATATATGCACAGAGTTATCTACCAGGATGTTCCTGGCAGCATGAGGCGTCACAGCAGAACTCTGGAAGTATGGAAACACCAAGCAGCAGGGGGCGGGTTACATCCATTGTGGTGCCTCCAGACAGCAGACCCTCAGGTTGCAAGGTTTGCACAGGCGGTACTGCAAGATCCTGAGTGTGTCATACACGTGCACACGAACACAAAGCAAAGATCGGGAAGGTCACACAGCGGGATGCTGACCAGGGTTGGGTAGGAGGAGTGGGGACACATCAGTGACGTTTTTATTCTCCTTCCGGATTATCTGCTGTTGTTGTTGTTCGATGATGCATCACTTTGTGATAAGAAAAATAAAAAGAAACTGTTCCTTGGAAAAAATAATGCTTTCAAAGGATGCTTAATGGCATAAGAAAATGCCCAAAATATAGTTAGGTTAAAAAAAGAAAAACAATTTTTAAAAAAAGACTAGCAAGTTACCATTATAGAAAAATATATATGTAAATAGTATGGAGCTTTTCTTTTTAAGTTGGAAACAAAATTGCTCTTAGAAAATCCACTGATTTTGTTTAGAAAAATACCCCGACAGTCTTTCTTGGTGTGAAAGTTGAAGGTCCCCACCCAGTGTCACCCTCACCTGGCCTGGATGGGCCAGCCTGAGAGCTGAACTGCCCCCACCCAGAAGCAGACTGGACAGAGGGCAGGAGAGGGCGCTGAGGAAGGGGGAGACCGGGGGCAGGGGAGCAGAGAGGGGGCTGGAAGCTGAAGGCAGTGGGGAGAAATCCCCTGTGGCAGAGCTAAGAACAGGGACGGCTGGGCTGAGACGCAGCCTTGCTCTGTTGCCTTCGGTAAAAATCGGCTTCCAACAGCTGCCTGGTGTGCGTGATGCTCTGGGGGAAATCAAGAGACAGGCTGCATTCTGCATGTGTAGAGAAAGAAAGGAGTGGCCACAGGAGAGAGACTGAGAATTCAGAGGAAATAGGACATTGGCAAGAAGTAAGCAAGGTTTCTCACATGGAGGATGGGGGCCCAAGGGGGTCCCATTGCATATTATGGACAGGGTGAACCATAAGTCTGGAGCACTTAGGAACAGCCAGGAGGCAGGTTTCTGGGTTAAATGTATATATATGAAGAAAATACTCTAAAATGTTAACTATTATTTTCTCTGAGTGATGGGATAATAGGTAATGTTTATTTCCTTCTTTTATCCATATTTTCCAAATTTTTTTTAACAATAAGCACATTGTTGCTCTTATAATCACACAAAGACACCACCAGGCAGGGGTAGGCGCAGGACTAAGAGGGGGGTCTCCCTGCTCCTCACCCCTGCCATCAACAGAGCCTCCCCTCCCCACGGGACCCCTCCTAGGGGGCATGTCAAGGGGCACTGCCCGGCCACTCCCCATCCCCCTGACCTGGCCAGCCGCCCTCTCCCCTGCCACCCAGGGGCCCCCAAGTTACCTTCCTCACACCTGAAGTCAGGGAAGGCCACGTCCTGCAGGGGAATCTGCCGCAGGAAGCCTGGGTTCTGGCAGCGCGGGTTCCCCGTCACGATCTTCCTCTTGCGCAGCCAGTCGCCCAGCCAGGCCAGCTGGCAGTTGCAGTTGAAAGGGTTGGCCAGAAGGTTTCTGGAAGAGGCATGTTGTGTGACCATGATTTGTCTCGGTTATCCCCGCAAAGCCCTCTCCTGCCCTCCTGGCCACACAGCCACTCAACACTCTTTCCCAAATGCCCAGCAATTACCAAGAGGCAGCATTCTAACGTGGTGAGACCCAAGTCTCAACAAACCGTGAGGCCCCAAACATCCCTGAGTGAGACCTTTAAAGGAACCAGTCAAGAAGACCATGCCCTTGGGATGGCGGGTGGGAGTTCCCAGGGTTCAGACGGCTGATGCCAGAGCCCTAGGCCCACCTGTCCTCCGAGGGCTGGACTTACAGCGTGGAGAGGGCCTGGAGGGTGTCGAAGGCTCCGGGGGAGATGGTGGCGATCTGGTTGTCATAGAGCGAGAGGAGGCGGACGTTGCGCAGGCCGGTGAAGCTGTCGTTGTGGATGCAGCTGATGCGATTGTTCCTCAGCATCCTGAGGAGGGTGGGAGAGGAGGGGAGAGCCGTGCTGTGCCCTGCGGCCATCTGCCTGCGCTGTGCTTTGGCCGCCACCGGCCAGTTCACAGACTCTCCTCCGCAGGCCCTGAGCCACGGGGAGGGGAGCCGCAGCACCAGACTTCTACACACCCGTGCTCCCCTCCAGGCCCTCCTGCCTCTGAGATGCCCTCCTCTCCATCCTGCCCGCACGGCCCGCACGCTGACCGTCACCCTCACTCCCCGGATGCCCAGTGCCTCCCCCATCTCCAGGCCAAGCTCCACATCAATGCTTGAGAGACTTGCCTAAAACCTAAACCCGGTTGCGTTCCTCTCCAGCCTAAAGTCCACGGCGGCCTCCAAACCGCCCACAGAATCATGTTTACACTCTTTACCGTGACCTGCGAGAGCCTGTCCAATCCAGCCCCAGACCAGACCCTGCCACCTCCCCAGACAGCGACACACCCTCGACTCTTCTGTCCTTCAGGCAGGCTGCACGAGCCTCATCGCCACGCCTTTCCCCAGGTATGACTTCCTTCTAGAATGACCTTCTTCCTCATTTATATCTGCAAAAGTCTCTGTTCATCCTCAAAAATCTGGCTCAATTCCCCTCCCCAACCAAAAACAAAAATCAAGCCTGACACAGAGTAGGCAATTCATGAAAGAAATTAAAATGGTTATCAACATTCATGAAAAATGTTCAAACTTACGAGTAATCAAGGACATTTAAGCGATATTGAATCTATGCCTGCCAAATTGCAAAATAATTAAAAATACAATAATAATAACAATAATAATGTGCAGAGTGGGCAAGAGGGGGGGAATGGGCACTTTCACCTGGGCCGGCAGGAGGACGACTTGGGATACACCTGGAAGTGTGTTTGCTGAGACCCTTTTCAGCACTTAATACTGTCACCCAGCAAGTTTACCCTTAGGAATTTACCATAAGGGAGTAATCCTGGACGAGCACAGAATTCCATCACAAAGATATTAATCACAGCACTGCTTATAATAAAAAAATTAGAAGTAGCCTAAATTTCCAATAATTATATAATATATATAGTCATTCAAAATGATGCTGTAAAAGAAATTTTAACGATAGGTGAAAGTGCTCACATTGTGTTTAAAGAAAAAGCAGGTTACTAAATAAACTGTATGATAAAATTCCATTGAAAAATATCTGTATGGATGCATGCATGTGTGTGGGTGTATATATGTTACATGTATGCAAGTATACATCTATAAAATACTGGAAGGACAGTTGTTTCTATCAACAATTAACAGTGGTCGTCTCTACATAGTGGAGGGGTTACGGGCATTTCTTTTCCTGTGCCTGTACCATCACTCATGTGCTCTGGCTGGCTCTGACCCAGCACCAGTGCTTCCCCTCTCCTCCGGCCCTATCCAAGTCTTCCTGGGAAAGGACCCAAGTGGATGAACAGTTCACAGCAATACTAGGCAAGTTTAAAGAGGAATGAGGCAGCCCTCTGTGAACAGCCTGGAAAGGGGGTCACGCTATATTCACAAGCGATAAAAGCAAGCTGCAAAACACGGTGCGTCAGAAAATCCCCTTTCTGTAAAACAAACAAAAATCCACAGAGAATCCCTTCACACATTCATAGATTACACAAATTCCATGAGACGTGCTCAGAAGACAAATCCACAGCCCTACTATAGGACTGGGATTCAAACCCAGGCAGGCGGCTTCTAGAGCCGTGTTGCCCAACAGAGTAGCCACCAGCCACCTGTAGCTATTTAGATTTAAATTAATTAAAATGAAGTGAATTTCACAATTTAGTGCTTCAGTAGCACTAGCCACGGGTCAAGTACTCCACAGCCACGTGTGGCTATCAGATTGGACAGTGCAGATGTGGGACATTTCTGTCACTGTGGGACAGCACTGCCTACTAGACACTCCAAGGGTCTACATGACCATCTGAAGAGCTGGTGCTGCCTGGACAGAGAGGGGGCTCCCTGCAGCCTTCACAGGGGGTGGATGACCCCATGGTCCTACTGAGTCCCAGTGTCTGGTTAGCCATGGCTGGGCTCTGGGTCATGGGATCCCAGGATCCCAGGGGTGGTGGGCCATCCCTGCTCCCCCATCTACACTTGAGTCACCTCTGCAATGTACCCCACATGGGGCCATCCAGCCCCTCCTGCCTGCAGCAGTCCCGGCCACTCCTGAACTGAACACACGTGAGGTGCTCTTGCAGCCTGACCCCAGGGCAATGAGAGGGGACCTCCAGAAGGGCCCACCTCCCTCCACCCCTTCACCAGGCGTCGACCTCACACCCCAGGGAACAAGAAAGCAGGCCTCACCACAGTCACTAACACCTGACTACTTGGCCCGCTGCAGTCAGGGTCCTCAGCTGTCACGCCTCCTGCAAGCTGGAGCCAGGGGGAGGGAGTCTCCCACCCTCTCTCTTCCTTTCCCTTTAATGCAGACTCCCATACTCTGCCTCGGCTTCTGCCTCCCGCACTCCGGCCGCCCAGCCCACTCCCCAGCCCGCACACTCACAGGGTCCTCAAGCCGTCCAGGCCCCGGAACATGCCGCTCCGGATGGACTCCAGCTGGTTGGCGGTCAGGTGCAGCTCGCTCACGGAGGCTGCCCCCTCAAAGGCCCCATCTTCAATTTCCGACACCTTGTTGTTGCTCAGATTGCTGAGAGAAGAGGCGGCAGGAGGATGATGGAGCTCAGAACCCCTCTTCCTGCACCCAACCCCCATGCATAGGAGCCCTGCCCCCCACGTGAGTTCCCCCACACCCAGTATTCTCTTTCTCCATCCCGGCCAGCATCCTGACTGCAACCTTCCCGCCAATGAGTAACTCACATTTTCTTCAGATGGGTGAGTTTTTTAAACATCCCAGTGGCCTCCAGAATGGAAATCTCATTGTTGTTTAATCGTCTGTAATAGGCAATGAAGAGAACTTACACAGCCATCAGTGACAGACACTCAAGTATCTTCCACACAAACTATTTGGGACTCTAACAAAGGGGACTCCCAGAGGAATTTATCTGGAAAGGCAAATTGATCCTACTTCCGAGGAAGGCTGGAGGTGAATGGCGATACTTTTAACATAAAAAATGCCATGAAAATTTACAAACATAAATGACAGATATGTGTAGGTATTTACACACATGCATATATATGTGCACAAATTGATATTTTTAGAGAAATAAAAGTAATAGTTAAAGGATGGCTTAAGCCCCAACTTGATCTAATGGAATGATGTCCTCCAAAGAAGGCAAAAGAATGATTGAGAAAAGCCACCCCAGGTTGAGGCTGGTGGCCTGCTCCAGGTGCCAGAGACTGCTTCAAGGGCGTGTAGGGCTGTGAGGCAGATGCAGAGTGGCTGCGGAGGGGGCGAGCTGCTTCCTGCCAAAGCCAGCAGCTGCCATGTGGGTGTCTCCAGTGGTCCCCAAACAGAGCAGGACCAGAGGGAAACCCAGAGAAGGCCCAGGAGGGTTAGGGGGAGCTAGGGGCAGGTGAGGGGCGTGGAGAGGTTGGGGGCCCTTACAGCTCAGCCGTGGACTGGGGGACGCGCTCAGGGATCTTGGTGAGCTTCAGGCTGGAGCACTCCACCACGCTGGCCTCACAGCGGCACTTGTGGGGACAGACCACGTCGCTGTTGCATTCGCTGTTCAGCTGGTAATCCTCTGTGCCTGCGGTGAGAGGGCGGGCCGGGGGCTGAGGGGCCCCAGGCAGGCTCCAGGCAGCCTTGGGTCTCCCAGGCCCCCACGGCCTGCTGCCCCAGCCCCCCGCCCACCCACTGCCACCGTTCCACCCAGGCTGGCCTTGGTCTCCCCTCTCCTACCTGGAATGAAGTACTGCTCTTTGGCTGGGGAGAGAAGCAGAAATGCTATGATGCTGAGATCATCCAGGACTTACAGGAAGAGCCCAGCCCCCAGCCCTGCTGCCCAGGTGAAGCCACCCCAGGAATAACACTGGGGGCCCAAATCAGGGCCCTAGAGCCTATTCGCTCAGCCTCTGTGTGGAGAAGGCCTTACTACGGAGCACAGATGTTCCCTGCCCAGGCTGATGCTGGGGACAGCACCACACCCAATTAAACCTCTCAGGGAGCGCAAAACCTGGGAACTCTCATGTGCCCAAGATGCGGACGGGGCAGGGAACATCAGGCTCCCGACCAGGATGTGGGCTCAGAAGCTGCCCCACACCATCCCCAGCCAGATGCTGTTTCTGCTGCCCCAGGGCCCAGAGGAAGCAACTATCTCTTTGAGGAGGGTTCCCAGGCCTCCCGAGTGTCTTAGAAGCTTGACAGCAGTGGCACAAAAGAGAACTGGCCTGGCGGTAAAGGGACCCAGCTCCTTCTCTGGGTCCCTGGGGACCTTCAGCAAGCCCTACTCCTCCCTCGGGCTCAGGAAAACGAGAGGTGGGACTGAACAGCCAAGTCTAGAATTTGGGGCCTCCACCATCCAGCGTGGGTCCAGAGCTGCCTAGGATGCCCTTGTTGGAGTTATCCAGGAAATATCGGGGGTCCCTGAGCAGACTGAAGACAGACAGGCAGGCGGACAGACAGACAGGTGGGCGGGTGGGCAGCTACCTGAGCACCGGAACTTCTTGCTCTTGATCTGTCCGATGCGCTTGTTGGCGAGGCGCCGGGGGCTGGCACAGCGGGCCCCGCTCGTCTCGATGGGGTTGGTGCGCAGGAAGTCCGCCAGCCACTTGAGGTTACAGTCGCAGATGAAAGGGTTCTGTGCCAGATGCCTGTCCAAAAGGGGCCAATCGGGGATCAGAGACAAGGGCTGCAAACCTGCACTGACCTCCACCTGGACGGGGCCTCGCTGCTTGCTTGTGGCCTGAAACCCGGGGCCAGCCCCTGGAGAGAAATGCACCACCCGGGGGCACCCACCAACCACAGAGAAGTCTTGCCAGGGCATTGCAGAGGGGAAGGGTCTGTGCAGGCTCTGGAGATTTTCAGCTGCCCCTGCCACACACCCCCTTCAAGCCTCACTCTGTCCCCTCTCCTTCTACTCACCTGTCCCTCCCTCTGCCCTGGGACATTTCACAAACATTAATGGAGGCAGGAGTGACCTGGAGACTGGCCAGAGTGCCCCTGTCCTTCCACAGGTGAGGTGACAGAACGGGCACTAGAACCCAGAACCATCAATGCCCCGAGGCATTTAGACACCCCAGCGCCGTGACTCATGGGCTGTCCCAGCCCCGCGGCCTCAGCAGCAGCAGCCTCTCTCCCACAGCCTCTGTGGGGAAGGGGCTGGGGCAGGGCTGGCAAGGCTGGGCCTGCAGCTGGGGTGGGAGGCTCTCAAAGCGCCTGCTGCAGCCCCTCATCTGTACATGGAACCTCCACCCGACCCCACCCCAGGCCATAGGGGCTGCCTCCCCTTGACCATTTCACAGGCCATCTCTTCACAGGCAACTAAGAAAACATCACTGAGTAGTTACTCATTGGGGAACCGCTCATATTCTCTGGCCGGGCTGCCTGTGTTACCAGCAGGATAAACATGCGGAGGGGACAGCTGACAGGGACACCAGCTGAGGGAACCTGGGTTGCTGTGAGCGACCATGTGGGTGGCTTTCCCACTTGCGGGTCCTGACTGCCCCAGCAGGCTCAGACCAGCCACATCTGAACTGCCCCAGCAGCCAGCTTGCCTGCCTGTGTCTGGGCCACCACGGCACTGGGCACACCCTGCTTTCCGAACCAAAACAGCCAGGGAAGAGTATTCTGGCATCTGTCCTGGCTGCCATACCTGAGAGCCAATGCTTCTGCACAGAAATACAGGGAGACAGAGCAGGGGCCAGCTCAGGGGACTCACCAGGCCTCGGCCATTTTTCCTCCATCTAATGCCATCAGTTCAAGCCATCTACTACTGGCCTCAGCCCCGCCCCGCACTAGGGCAGCAGAACTCTCCACACAGAAGCAGGAACCCCGCCCAGGGTGGGCGCCCAGCTCAGCTCAGACCTTGGCCACTCTCTCTCCGTCCATCATCTCTGCGCTGCCCTCTGGCTCTTGGTTGGGGCGCTTGGTCGGAGCCTTTCCTGCCCAGCCGTCTCTGCCACTCCCCTCTCCAGCGCCCCCCACTTTCCTGCCTCAGTCCTGGCTCCTCTCAACTCCACCAGGTAGGCTGGGCCCCTCCTACCCCTTCTGCATCCAGTTTGACATTGGTTTGCCGATTTAAACTGTCCACTTGCACAGAGAAGACATGTTTGCTGACTCCCTGGGCAGAGTTTGTAGCAAATTTAAAAACCACTAGGATTCAGGGATTGCGCTGGGCTCTTCCCAGCCACCCATCCACATCCGTCTGTGCCTCAGTGCCTGGCCTTGGCCTGAACTAACTGCTTCCCTTTATCACAATCTCAGTAGAAAACTCTGTTTAAAATCAACTCAATTACGTTGTTTAGAAATGTATTAAAATGTTCAAGGGGTGCAGAGGAGAATACATCATCTTTAAGAACAAGCTATTTGTGTCAAAACCAACCTATAAAAATTTGAACCATCCACAGAGTCAAGTGGCTTCTGTATAAACTTAACTATTTGATACAAATTAGAATGTTTAAAAGTTGCAAGGGACAGGGAGCGGGAAATGCTCAGGAGGAAGGAAAAAAAAAAGTGGGAAAAGATAATCATGTAAAAGGCACATCCAGAAATACGCTACCCATGTGGCCTTGCAGTTATCTCCATGAACATTTCTGATTGTGGAAGGAAGAAGGGAAGACTGATTCTCGGTGTCTTTCTTGGAATATGTATTAAGTCGCAAGTGAAAATCTTTTGGGGCAGATGCTCCACATCATTAGTCAAATTAGACTCACAATGAGATACCACTTCATCCCCACTAGGATGGCTATAAACAAAAAGACAAACGATGCCACGTGTTGGCAAGGATGTAGAGAAATTGGAACCCTTGTAACACACGGCTGGTGGGAACGTAAAATGGTGCAGCCACTTTGGAAAACAGTGGCGGTTTCTTAAAATGTTAAACATAAATTTCCCATGTGACCCAGAAATTCCCAGAGAAAAGAAAACATTCGTCCACACAAAGATTTGTAAGAAAATATTTATAGCGTCATTATTCATGATGGTCCCAAAGTGGAAATCCAAATGTCCGTCAACTAGAATGGATAAACAAAACGCAGTCTATCCATACCGTGGAAAGTTATTGGCAATAAAAAGGAACAAAGTACCGATACATACTGCAAAATGGATGAACCTCAAAAACATTACGCCAAGTGAAAGAAATCAGGCATGAAAGATGATATATCTTATGATTCCATTTTTATGAAATATCCAGAAAAGGCAAATCTATAGAGACAGAAATTAGATTAGTGGTTGCCTGGGGATGGGCTGGAAACAGGGATTGATTGTAAATGGGCACAAGAGATTTTCGGGGGGTGATGGAAATGTTCTAAAATTGGACTGTGGTGATAGTTGAACAACTATAAATTTACTGAAAATCATTGAATTGTACACTTAGAACAGGTGAATCTTATGGTATGAAAGTTATACCTCATTAAAGTTGTTTAAAAAAAATTTTTTTTAATCTCTTGGGGGAAATAAAACTATAGCAAAATCAGTACTGTGACCCAGCGCACTCAGCCACAGATGGTGGAGCTGTGGACAAATCAGACAAGATTTGGTGAGCATAAACCTGCTGGGGTTTGACACAAGACCCAGTCAAGAGGTTTAACCACCCGAGGCTGGAATAAGAATATCGGATTGCACTTTGGATTTGCATTTCTTTTATTCTTGTTCCAAATTGTACTTCGGTTGTTAATATATAATAGTTGTTCATGAAAGTTCAGTTTTGCTTTACAGCCTTAAATAATGAGGTCTATTCTTATGGAAAAAGCACAATTGAGGGGGAAGCAAACTAATTTCTCAGTTAATGGTGAAGAGACGCCTGGGACCAAATCCCTGCTCTACTAGGTGTTGGGTGACCTTGGGTGAGTCATGTAACCTCCCTCTGCCTCAGTTTCCTTATCCAGAAAGTCAAGGATGATAGGACCTACCTCCATGGGCCATTGTAAGTATTAACTAAGATAATACATGTAAAGAACAGTGGCTGGGTATTCAGGAGGGGCTCGATAAACATGATGACTGTTGTTCTCAGTGTTACTACCACGACTATCTTGCCTCCGGGAAGCCTTTCTGTTCTAACATTTGGCTCTAGCTTTGTGCCCCGCTATTGCCCTGGTGGCAGTGGCCAAGATCGCAGGTATGGTGCTGGGAGGGCAGAAGCACTCTCTGAAATCTAGCCAGGTAAATGCACACAGACAGAGGCCACCCCCGGGAGCGAAATCTGATTTATTCACTCTCCTTCCACCTTGAGGAGGAGGAGACGGCTCCTCACATGAGACCCTTGGTCCCATTCCCCATCCCCAAGGCTTCCCTGTGTGTGGCCCCCTTGAAATCTCCTTAGTGCGTTTGTCTCGGACGTTCCGCCAGCTGCGTAAAATAATCCACCTCGCCAATGTCTCCCTGTAACCTCTACTGTCACATACGTACTTGGCAAGTTTTCCCTGTGGTGCTCCCTCTCCCGGGCCGTAAGTAAATTAATTAGCAGGAGTGGGCTGCAGGCGGGTGTACAGGCTTTAATGAGTTTGTCTTCCTGGCTGACACCCTTCCTGATGTACAGGGTCACCAGGGAGCAGGAGCTGTGCCTTCTACTCGACCTTTTCACACCTATCCCAGCACTCCGTGCAAATAGTGTCTGATGGAGAGCACTGACCAGCAGAGAAACAGTGGCAGGGATGGTGACAACAACGGCCACAATAATATTAATAATAAATGCCCAATAAGCACGCATCACAGGACCCACGGGTCAGGGCATCGAGTCAAACTCCAGGCTCAGAACCAAAGGTGTAGAATGGAGGAGACCACATAAGTGCCTGAGTCTAACCAAATAGTAGATGAGGAGAAGTCTCCCTACACGGAAGCATTCCAGCTAAAAGATACGGACTCTTTCTGAAAGCATAACCACAACACATTATCAAATGAAGAAGGAATGTTAGAATTCAAATATCACCGCTTCAGGATCCCTAACGAATGAACGGGTCCACTGAAATCAACGGCTGTGTTTATTACACAAAGAGAGAGAACCAGACATCACGGGCCTCCTGATGGAAGTATATAACCCTACCTACAAAGTCATCTTGCCAAAAAAAAAAAAAAATCTGAACCAGATCAAGCTCCTAGATGACATTTTCTAGCCAGGACACAGGACACAGGACTGTGTGAAACTACACCACAGGAATGCAGCCAGCAAAGTCCAGGCTGTGGGGGACTCGATGGACCCAAGAATGCGGTGTCTTCCACAAACAAATTGCAAGGAAAAAGGAGATGGAGAGGACACCTGTAGATTAAAAACGACTTAAGCGATACAGCAACCAGTGTCAGCCAATCGTATCGCACAGGCCTTCTTTAAATCCCGATTCAAACAAATTATTTTAAAAAGTGTGTAACATGTATGAGACACTTGGAAATTTGAACACTAATTAGATATTTGATGAGATTAAAGAATTGTTAAATTTTTAGATATAATAATAGTGTTGTGGTTTTGTTTTTAAAGAAATCTTGCCTTTTATAAATATGCATGAAGTCTGTGTAGATGATAAATGACATCTAGGATTTACTTCAAAACAGTTCAGGAGGCATGGAAGAGAGGGAGACTGGCTGTGAGCTAAAGCTGGGTGATGAATCCTGGGAGGTTTACAATGCTACTTTTTATATGCTTGTCATTTCCTATAATAAAAGGTTAAAACAAATTCCTAGAGTTGTTGCTCTCTAATTTTTACTTTATAATCATCATTGCTGTTACTATATCTCTTCTGACTTAAGACATGATCAGTTGCAAGATGCACTGTTATTTTATGTATTATCAAGAAAGAACATGGGCCGGCCCTGTGGCTTAGCGGTTAAGTGTGTGCTCTCTGATGCTGGCGGCCCGGGTTCGGATCCCGGGCGCACACGGACGCACCGCTTCTCCGGCCACGCTGAGGCCGTGTCCCACATATGGCAACTGGAAAGCTGTGCAACTATGACATACAACTATCTACTGGGGCTTTGGGGCGAAAAAAAAAAAAAAAAAATTTAAAAAAAAAAAAAAAAAAAAAGAACAAAATGCTGCCAATTAAATGACATGCCATCGAATGTAATATGCACCCCAATTTCAGAGCTGTTAATGTAAAGATAATATGTTTTAGAATCAATGGGCCATAATAACGTTATTATTATTATTATTAATTGTAGCCAGCATTTAAGAAGCATTTATAATGAGCTAAGCTCTGTAGCAATATCCCCTTTAATCTCATAACAACCCTATGAAGAAGATGATATCCTCATTTTACAAATGAGTAACCGGAGGCCCCGAGAAGCTAATTAACTTGCCCAGCGTCACACAGCCAATAAGAGGCACAGCTGGGATTTGAACCCAGGATTGTCTTACCCAATCTGTGCTCTTTCTTCTATAAGAGGCCACTCCCGGTGAGCAAAAGGCACAGGGCAAGACAGGAGCCTGTAGCTGGAGGCTGTTACTCCCCCTAGGCCCACTGCTGGGGTGGAGGGGAGGAGCACGAGGGGATACTCACAGGGTCTGGATGGCCCGCAGGGAGGTGAAGGTGCCCTTGGCGAGCCCCTGGATCTTGTTGTCGTACAGGGAGAGAAGAGAGAGGTTCTGCAGGTCCTGGAAGACGTCGGGCCGGATGCAGTTGATCTTGTTGGCGTTCAAGAGCCTGTGGGCAGAGCCAGGGCCAGGTGGTGAGGGGAGAAGCACAGAACCAGCCCCATCAACATGTCCTGGGCACCTTCCTCGGCACCGCGCGTGCTTCATCTCAGGGCGAAGACCACGGGAGCTGGCCCAGGGAATCCGGCCCTTGGATGCCCACTCCATGCGGAGGAGCCGAGAACTCCAACTGCCTTTTCCGTGCACAGTGACCATCTTAACCCACCCAGTCTCCTCTCCTTCGAGGAACTGCTAGAGGTGCCCACAGGATTCTTGGAGAGCAGAGAGCATGGTGGTAAGGCCCCCTCCCAAAGGCATTTTGGGGGCCCCTCCTCCTTCCCGGAGCTCTGCTGGGTTTCCCGGGCAGCTGAGACGGGGCATTTGGGTTCTGAGCCTCTTGGATTCTGGGAGAGAACCCTTGCCTGAATTCTCATGATTCAAGGAGGCTGGGCTGGCCCTGGCTGTCCTCTGCAGGAGACAACTCTGTCCCCAGCCATGCTGAGCTCCTCAGGAACGCAGGCTGCGTCTCAGGAGCCTCTCTGCTCAGGCCATCAGTTCTGAATCTGCCTCTCCCTACCCCTCTGGCCTCTGCAGACCCCACAGCCTTTCACAGCCCCACCAGTCTGCTGGTCTGCTGTCCTCCAAGCTCCCTGGCTCAAGTGAGTCCCACACCCCAAAGAGACAGAAAAGGCAAGTCTGAGAGGCCAGAGGAATACCGGACCCCTCCCTGGGCCCCACCCAAGGACACCCGTGGATGGGCCCTTACAGGAGCTGTAGGGTGTACAGGCCTCCAAACACACCCCGGGGGAGGTCTGTGATCTTGTTCCCATAGAGGACCCTGGAGAAAAGGCAGCAGAAACAGACAGTTAGAGGACAGCCCTCCGGGCCGGGGCATAGCTGTGTAAGTCCTGCCCACACAATGGCACCACCTCTAAGCCCTTCACGCCCCACATGGTAGCGGTGTATGTTCGTAGTAACAAGTTGCCAGCAGATGGCAGTGAAGTGTGCTAGGAAAGGGTCACCTCTTTCCAGTTTGCACAAAGGTATCCTGTAGGCTAAAGGGCCCAGGGTCCCCATTACTTCAGGAGCAGCCCCACCCACCCACTCTCTGCCCTCACACATGGATCCCACAGAAGCTGCAAAGGGGCCCTTCGGGGAACCTCACAGGAAATGAACCTGGTCTGGGATCCAAAAAGAAACTGTTCCAAGAGGAGAAAATCCCAAGGGCAGGAATAATTAACATATTTTCAGAGAATTACAGCAAAAAACTTGAATGCCAGACAGCACATGCGGTACGAGCTCTAGCACGTCAAGCAAGTCTTTCCAGAAACACCAGAAAGGAACAGACCCAAGCGTTAGATCTGGATGGTGGGATTGCAAGTGCATTTTTTTATACTGTAGTATTTTCAGTTTTCTACACTGAGCATGAATTCTGTGTATAATTAGAAAAAAAGCAAAGGTTTGCAAAAGGCATGCAGGCAGGGACGGTTCAGGCAGGCGGTGAAAGCCTGGGGGGGGTTCGGGGGGATGTATTCCATTCCCAATATCACAAGCAGCGTCCACAAGCCGTCCCTGCCAACATTCGGTCTGAGTAAAAACAGCGTGTGCCGTGTCTTCAAACGTGGCTTTAAGATCATCCCTGCAGGAGAGCACAGGAGCGGAGGCCCTGCAGTGGGGTCCGCTTGGCCCATGTGGAGAGCTCCAGTGTGGCTTGAGTGGAGGGAACAAGAGGGACAATGGCTTGGATTTTACCGAGCCAGCACCAGGAAGCCTCTGAGACACAATCGGATCCGCATTTGGAAAGATCCCTCAATGGGCTGTGTGGAGAATGGAGGGAGTGGGAGACGAAGCCAGGAGATGAGGGCAGGGCCTGCCGAGGTGGACACTGTCAGTGAGACCTATCTGCATGACATCAGTGGGGAGGTGGCTTCAACCAGGTACCCATGAGCAACAGGAACCCACTGAAATGGGTTATCGTCATGTTCCAACTTAGGAGGAGTTTCATTCACTTCTCAGAGGAAGAGCCCTGCATTTTGGCAGGCCACCTCCAGGATCCGATCTCCTCAGTCAATGATAGTGACCCATCACCAGGCTGTCAGGTACAGCTGTGTAGGTTGTACACTGCACAACTTAAAGGGTGCCATTCACAATTGGCCCCATCCACTACCTCAGACTCTACTCTCAGAAAAGAGAGTACACACAGAAGGCATTGAGCTGGCAGCCTCCTGTACTCCCCAAGGGGGAGTTCCATTCTGTTCCACTTCCTAGGCCCCTCATCTATGCAAGGCATGTGTCCACTGCTGCCAAGGGACAGGCAAAAACATTCATTCCTAAGAGCAACAAATGGTCTCTACCGATGGGGAGCTCACCCGACTATAGGGCACCCTGAGTGCACTCTCTGTAGAGACAAAGTGTTGTGGGACCTCTGAGAGTGAGGGACATGGTGAACCTGGGGCTACAAGTAAGGTTTTCAGAAGTAAGGTTCTCAGAAAAAGAGAGATGTAGTAATATTTCTGAGATGAATTTTCGGTGCTGCATGACGTTTCGTGGTTGACAGACCCCCCAATAAACACATGAAGGAAAGGGGAGGGGAATACTGGAGAGAGGTGGAGAAAAACACCGACTCCACATCAGCCACCACAAGTTGGGATCAGAGCACATTTGGGATAAAAGATACAAGGTGCGGCAGATGTCACAACTGGAGCTCGTGGCTGCTACCCTTGTAGATGACCCAGAGAAGGCTTAGGAGCATGAGTGCTGGGCCTCTGTGGGGAGGCCAGGCCAACATGAGGTCTGGGCCAAGTCAGATGACTGCTGCAAAGAATGCTGGGAAAATCCCCACCATGGCTGGGAAAGCATCACAGTTGCCAGGGGCAACAGCTCTGCCTAGCTTTTCCACACACTCAGCCCTTGATTCCCTCTACCCCTTCCCAGTTGCGGAGGGTCCACCAGTGAAGAAGAGGGAGCTGGGCACAGCAGCTCTGGACTTTGCAGCCGGAGGGAGACCCACTGAGGCCAGGGTGGGCGAGGGCTGCACTCCCCCTCCAGCACCCACCAGAGGGACCCTGGGCCCTGGCGGCCTCCTTGGGGATGCCCTGGACCCCTGCAGGAGGCTTGGCATTGCTACTCACAGCGAGTTTAGGGAGCGGAGGCCCTGGAAGGCATCGGGGGCGATCTCCGCGATCTGGTTGTTGCTCAGGTCTCTGCAAGGTGAGCAGAAGGAGAGAGGGTGGCTGCATCCCTCAGCAGCCACCAAGCCCTGACTGGTCCCCTCTACCTCCCAGAGGCCAAGGGAGGGCAGGGTTTCTTTGAAATTAGAAATGAGGGGCCAATTCTCGCATCCATCTGAAAAGCCCACGGCCACGGTTTCCCTGTGCAGTTGTGCACAGGCAGGGGACTCCAGCCTTGTTCTCGACAAGGCTTCACCCCGCATGCCAGCTGTCACCTACACCCCCTCTCACGTCCACAATTGCTCCTATTGGTGCCCCAGCTGAAATGGGAGGAGGACAGGCAGCTCTGGTCACGTGCCAGACTCGGGCTCAGCACCACATTTAGGCCTCACGACAACACTGCAAGGAAGTCACACCACCGCCATCCACACGTCACAGATGAGCCTGGCAGGAAGGCCAGGTGGAGGCTTGCCCAGGGCCGCACAGCAGCGGGAGGCAGGGTCAGGACCTGCACCGTGGCTGTGGCATGCCTGGTCCAGGCCCTTCCTCCTGCCGCAGGCTGACTCCCAGGGAGCAGCGGGAAGCACTCACATCCTCCGCAGCTTTCTGTAGGGAGAGAAGGCTCCCGGGGGGATGGACTTGATCCCATTGAGCTCCAGGCGGCTGCAGAGAGAGAACGCAGAGGAAGCCCAGGGTCAGGTCACCCCAGCCCCGGCTATTGCCTGCTGGGCTCACCCGCCTAAACCAGGCCCTTTGCCCTCCTGCGCCTGCTCCCACCTTCCGTCTGGAGCAGACGGGCTGGCATGGGCAGAGGAAGGGGCTGCTGTGATTCAGGCTCCATTATCCCAGGCTGCCGTGGCTGAAAGGGGCCCACGAATGATGCTAACAGTAAGTAACTGATTCTAGCAGACTCACCCAGCTGGGCTGGACAGATGGAGCACAGAGGGACACCTCTCCCTAACCCTGCGGAGTCTCCCAGCCTTAAGCAGAGAGCTCAGCCCAGCCAAGGCAAACTGTGCCTTCTCCATTTGCACTGTGGGGCCTCAGCAAGCCCTGGGGTGGCACCTGCTCCGGCTCTTCACTGGACCACCAGGGCCTGTGTCCCAGCACCCACCCTGCCCTGTACTCACATCTCCGTCATGGTCTCCGGCAGGTTGGCGGGGATGGCGGTGAGGCCTTTGCCACGACAGTCCACAATGCCATTGCTGCAGGTGCACATGGCCGGGCAGGAGCCGGAGGAGAGGATGCAGGACGGCACGCGCCCCGCCTCCCTCTGGCCTGCGGAAACAGTGGGCTGTGACCTCAGGGTGTCCTGTGTCAGCACCTCCCTGCCCAGATACACACTGATGGGTGGGGACAGGGCACACAGTGTTGTTCTGGATGAGGATGAACCAGAGGAGATCACCTGATGTAACTCTGTGGGTGCCTGGCACATCGCAGGTACTTGTTCGATGTTTGCTGAACTTGAATGTGAACCTAACGGTGCTGCATGAGAATGTGATTTGCACACTAGGAAATCCTAGTCTAAATTCTGAAGCTCCGGATTCTAGTCCAAGTCACTCAACACTTCTGAGCCCCCGTCTCCTTGTTTGTCACCCGAGGATGACAAGGACTACATTTCCTGAGCACTCACTCTGTGCCACACGCTGGGATAAGTGATGTACGTGCAGCATCTCATTTAATCCCACTGCTCAGCACACGAGGAGCATAATGCTATTGTGGCCATTTTACAGGTGAGGAAACTGAGTCCTTGACATTCATTAATTTGTATATAAACATTTTAATTGAAGTATAAATTATATAAAGTGCACTATATTCAGTGTAGAGCTGGCTGAATTTCTACTTATGGATACACCCACGGAAACATGCCCCCAGACACGGACATTTCCATCACCCAAGAAGGCTCCCACACGCCCCTTCCCCAAGGTCACCACTATTCTGAGATTTGTCCTGGTTATTTGTGGACTTCACGTAAACGAGATCAGACAGCAGGTTGTCTTGGGTCTGGCTTCTTCTGCTCCATATGAAATCTTTGAGATTTGCCTGTGTTGTTGTGTGTTTCAGTATTTGTTCTTTGTCACTGCTGAGTAGTATTCTAGTGCATGGATATATCATAATAGTTAATCCATTCTCTTGCTGATGGACATCTGGGTTGTCTCCAACTCTGGGCTATTATGAAAAAATCTGCCTTGGATATTCTTGGAGGTGTTTTTTGCAGAGCATGTGCACATACCCCGCAGTGGAGTCACAGAGTCACGGGGCAGACAAATGATGAGCTTTCGTAGCTTCTGCTATACAGGTCTGCAGAGTGTGAGCCAATTTACACTCCCACCAGCCTTCTACCCTCTAATCATTTCCTTGGCCACCCCAAAGGTGGGCGCCAAGATCAAGGAGACAAAGCTAGGAGAACTTCTGGAAAACTGTGAAAGTGCCCTTCTTGGGAAAGGGGTTGCCAGGGTGAACAGACTCCAGAGGAGGAAAAAATGCCCAAATATAGAGACCAAGGTATTCCAAATGCAAAGAAAAAGGTTTCTTTTCAAAATAAAAATTGTCCAAGTGAATTAGCCATTCCTATTCCTAAAACCTGTGGCAGCTACAATTACTCAGAGGAGCTGCCTCAGCGCTGGCTCTCCTCACACACGAGTACGTACACATGCGTGCACACATACTCACACACTCTCACACATACACACTTGCACACTCACATTCACACACATTCTCTCACACACTTACAATGCACATTCATACACTCATACACTCACTCTCATACACACACACACACTCACACAGACATGCTGTCACACACACTCATATACTCTTGTGTACACACTCACTCCCACACATGAGCCACGAGCACTGCGGTGTTCAAGCGCAGTCTCCGGCGCTGCCAGTGCTGTGGAGGAGGTGACAGCCGCAGCCTCCCCCAGAGTCTCGCACTGAGGAGAGGCGGCCAAGCCCAGAACATGCTTTTCCTTCAGAGCGCTACGTGGCTGAAGGGCTCAGAGCCCACAGGTTTGGGAGAAATGGGCAGCCCCTCATCCTCTGTTGTGGATCTGAGAACTATTCATTCACTCAGCAAACATTTCTTGAGCATTTCTGTGCCAAGCACAGGCCAAGTGCTGAGGATATGGCCAGAAACCCCGACACACGTACTCCATGTGCTCATGGAGCTTCCGGTCTATCAGGGACCTCCTCTGGGGTCAGAGAAGGCTCCCTGGGCTCTGCAGGGGGAAGAGGAGTTGGCAGGCAGCAAGGCGGGAAGGGTGTGCGCAACAGGGGAACAGCCCGCGAGAAGGCCAGGGGGAGGCACCTGCTCCAGGAAGGGCAGAGGTGGGCACGGCTGGGACGCAGGGAGTGAGGAGGCGCCGGACTGGGGGAGGCTGAGATGAGCCTGCCCCGGCCTTGCAGAGTTTGAGGGCAGTCTGGGCTCTCCTGGGAGCGCTGGGGGGATGGCGAGTACGAAGCAGCAGTGACCTGCCCGGACTTGTGCGTCCTTTTAGGTCTTTCTGGCTGCAGTAAGGAGATCGAAGGATCCAGAGACGAAGTGAGGTGCCAGTCAGGAGGCTCTCACAGGCTCCCGGGTGGGAGATGGAGGGTACAGACTCTGGAGTCCACCTCATTTAACACTGAGGCTAGAAGGCCCAATTCAATGAGTTTTCCAGGTAGCAGGGGTGAGGCAATGGGAGAAGGGGAGAGGTAGTAATAGGAGGGGCAGGGAGCGGGGAGGTGAGAGAGTGGAGGAAGATGGGAGGAGATGGGAGGAGGCACTGGGTGAGCAAAAACGTGGTGGAGCAGAGGGGACGATGGCAGAGGAGCAATGGGTGGGGGACAGGAGAGGCTGGGTAGGGGGGCAGGAGGGACAAGTGAATGGAGACAAGAAGTGATATGTAGGGACAAAGGTGACAGGTGAGAACAGGAGATAATGGATGGGGTGTGAGGCGGGGTGGAAGGGGACACGAGGTGATGAGTAGGGACAGGAGGCAATGGGCAAGGAAGGGAGGTGATAAGTAGGGACAAGAGGTGACAGATGGGGACAGGAGATGGTGGGTGGTCCAGGAGGTGATGAGGAGAAAAAGGAGGTGACGAGTGAAGACAGGAGGTCACAGATGGGCCAGACGTTAATGCATGGTGACAGAAGGTAATGGGAGGGAACAAGACCTGTTGGGGGGGGGGGAAGGGGTGACAGGAGGCAGGTGATGGGCAGCTGAGAGCCCCAGCAGGGCCTGCACCCACCTGAGCAGCTGAACTCATTCTTCTGGACCTCGGCCACATTGAGGCCGCGCAGGCTGGCGGGGCCCGAGCACTGGGTGAAGAGCCCGATAGTTGGCCGCTGCCTCAGCCACTGCGAGAGCCAGGCCAGGTGGCAGTCACAGAACAGATGGTTGGAGTGCAGGCGGCTGCAGGGGGACAGGGCGGCTCACAACCCACCTGGGCCCCCAGCCCGCAGCCAAACAGTGGGAACCCCTCCACCCAGGCGGGGCCGAGCCCCCGGCTACACTCGGCCGAAGCCCAGTCTACGCTCAGATGCTCAGTCGGCTGCACAGCTCAGCCCCAATTTGGGGATTATCTGCAGCAGCGGGAAACTCCCTGGTGGCTGCCCTCTCCCTCCCAGCACACTCTGTGGCGCCCCTTTGGCTGGAGTGTGCCCAGAGGATACCGATTCATCTCCCTGAGCTCACACAGACCCACCGCCCCAAATCACAAAATTCATTTCCAAACACAAAGACAAATCATTTGTTTTCCAAGGAAAAGTCAAATATAGGGCCGGCCCGTGGCTTAGCGGTTAAGTGCGCGCGCTCTACTGCTGGCGGCCCGGGGTTCGGATCCCGGGCACGCACCGAAGCACCACTTCTTCGGCCATGCTGAGGTCACGTCCGACATACAGCAACTAGAAGGATGTGCTACTATGACATATAACTATCTACTGGGGCTTTGGGGGAAAAAAAAAAAAAGGAGGAGGATTGGCAATAGATGTTAGCTCAGAGCCGGTCTTCCTCAGCAAAAAGAGGAAGATTAGCATGGATGTTAGCTCAGGGCTGATCTTCCTCAAAAAAAAAAAAAAAAAGAAAAGAAAAGAAAAATCAAATATAAATGACATTCAACGTCTTTCCATTTTAGATCACCTCCCTCCCCCTCCGACTCCAGTCAGCCCCCACCCTGTGCTGGCCTCTGGGGGTGCAGAGGAGAACGAGCTCCCTCCCCTGCCTGCGGAAGCCTTCGCCCCCTTTCCCCACCGCCCCTGGCACCGGCCGCGCTCTGCCGCTGTGCTCCCGGCCGCCCCGGCTGACTCACAAGGTGCGCAGCTTGGGCATGTGGTTGAAGCTGGACACGGGGATGCTGCTGATGTTGTTGTTGTTCAGGGTCCTGAACGGGGAGACCAGAGTCATTTCAAGCCTGCCCAATGGGAAGTTACGTGGGAAGAGACAGGGCTTCTCTCTGACAAATGGGCAGACTCTCACACCCTGTTCCATCGTCTACCCTTGAGGTGGATGGCACTGGGTTGGACACGGGAGCCACACCGAAGACCACCAGACAGAGAGCCACCCTCAGGGAAAGCCCTGAACTTGGGCGGTGATTACAGGGCAGCTGCACCATAGACTCCACGTCTGGTAGGATGGGGGAGATGCAGCAAGGAGAGGGAGAAGATGCGTGCAGGCTTGGGCTGGCTTGGAAGAGAGGGCGGGGTTTAGACGGAGAAGGGGGAGGCATTCCTGCCTCAAGTGTCAGAAACTCCTGGAAGACCCAGCCACCTGCCCTGGGCCACCTCATGAGCAGAGGAAGCCTGGGTCACGCTGCCGTGGGGCTGACCCCATGGGCACATGTCCTCCCATCCTCGGGGTGAGTCTTGGAGAACAGAGAGCATGGCCTCTGCCCTGGGCCTGGAACCCGCCTCCCGGTCTCCTGCCTCCTTGCTGCTCCCAGGCCCTGACTCCACCCACCTCGGCTCCTGCGTTAGGCGGGCGCCCTCTCCAGGCCTCTGCCTCCCTGCCCGGTTTTACTTACAGCACCTCCAGCCCCCGCAGAGCCCGGAAGGCCCCTTCCTCAATGCAGCTGATCTGGTTCTTGTCCAGCTGTCTGTGAAGCGAAAGAAAGTTGTAGAGCCGAGGGCACGTTGCCTAGAGCAGGCGTGTCCAAACATTTTGATCAAGCACTCCATCAGTTTAAAAAAAAAGAGGCCTGACCCGAATCATTTGTTCAGCACATATGTGTCAATCCAAATAGTAAGTAATAAAAGCTTAAATTATTTCTTATCTTCAGTTGAAACAATAAATATAAATAAAAGTTATATTCCTCTACCCAACCTTGCATATCTCCCAGGGAGCAGGCACCACCCTCCCATTTTGGAGACCACCTAGAGGGTGCTGGCAGCTGCTAAATGAGTCTGTCACAGGAGTGGTGGCAGCCAGAGCTGGCAAACAGATTTCAGCCTGAGTGCCAAGTGAGACCGATGAGCGGCGGCTACCTGAGGGGCCACTTTCAGAATAAACCGCAACTGCGATCTGGGCCCCTTGGAAAAGAATGCAGTGATCAATTACCAATGTCTACTACAGGCTTTGGGGGCCTGGCGGGAGTGACAAACATGCCAGGCATTTGTCATCTCTGTTGTAGCCAGACCTCGGGTAGGTTGTAGGCCTGGACCAGAATAAATGTGAATATTAGAAATAAACCATTACATTTAAATAGCATTTGACAATGTGCATTTATTTCCATATCTCATTTAAACCTCAGAACAAGCCTATGAGGTAACTATGATATCCCCATTTTATAGAACAAATTGAGGCTCAGTGAGGTTAACCGACTTGCAGCAACTTACACAACATGTCCCTGGAAGAGAAGACTCAAACCCAGCCCTCCTGATCCACTGGAGGGCCAGGGCACAGAGACTGTCCTTTTAAATGCACCAAGAACATCACCCAAGCACCCCACAGTTCATGACACTCACGGTCCCCAAAGGCTGCCTGTTTCCTCTGACCCCAGAATGTTCCAGAAGACCATGCTGGCACCAGCCATCTCAGAACCCAGACCAGCTGCTTGGCTGCCTGGACCACACGGCTTGGGGAGACCCACAAGGATGCTGCCACGGGGGCCCCTGCAGCCCCTGAGCCCATCTCCCTCCCAGGCCTGTACTCACAAATTTTTGAGGTCTGTAGCTCCACGAAAAGCTTTTCTGGGGATTGCCTGGATGGTGTTCTCACTCAGGTCCCTGCAAGGATAACGCCAGAGGGAGAGAGAACCCTGGTCATAAGAGATCTCTCCAGGGTGCCCTGATGAGTCAGGGAGGTGAGGCGGGCCAGACCGCGCCCGGACAGCTGCGCACACGAAGTACATGGTGAATGAGTGAATGAGCTGGAGCTCGTGCCCAGCCCCCTCCCCTTCTCTGGGCAGAGGGGTTGCAGCTGGAGGGAGAAGCCTGGGGTAGGGCACCCCAACCTTGACCGCCAGACCCTCAGAGGTCAGCTCGGCCCTGCAGCTTCATCCAGAGCTGCAAAGGAGGGGCTTCTTGACCGCCCACAGCGGCCCTGGGACCTGTGGTGGGTGCACCAACTCCTCACTCTGTGTTTTACTGAGCAGGAACGCAGGCTCCGGAAGAAGGCATGACTGGATCCCAGGGAACTCGGCCAGGTGGCTAACCCAGGTCTGAACTCCAGGCTGGGTCTGACATCTGACTCCAGATTCCATGCCCTCGGGGACTGCAGGGAGCAGAGCCACCACTGACAGCCTGGGCCCCCACTGGGGTCAGGAGCAGGGTGGCCAGCTGCAGGGCTGGTGCTTGGAGGGCAGGGACCACCGAGGACTTCGTCATTAGTAATGTCCTGATGTGAGGGAGGAGGCAGTGCAGGGACTCGGCACATCCCCAGCCCCTGCGAGCCCCAGGCCAGCTTCCTCTCCCTGGCAGGACTGGGCCTCTGGCACCGTCCACCTGCCTGTCTCCCCTCTTTCAACATCCTCACTACAGACTTTTACAAATGCCCCTTTTCCGGGGAGCTTCTCCTTCCCACGGTGGTGGTACCAGCTGCCGCCGTGTTCTGAGCACGTCCCGCCTTGTTGCATGGCCCAGCTCCGCATGCATGAATGCACTTGACCCTCGCACTAAACGTGGGGCAAATGCTGTTCCCATCCCCAGTTCACAAAGGAGGAGAGGGAGGCTCAGAGAAGTTAAGCAGCTTCTTCAAGGGAACACAGCCGGCGGGTGGTGACTCCAGATTTGAACCCAGGCACTCAGGTCCCAGAGCCTCCTCTTGCACGCAGCCCTGGGAGTGGGAGCCGGAGGGGGAACTGTTACCTAGCTCACTTTGTAGAGGAGGGAACTGAGCTCGAAGAAGTTGAGTAACTTACCCACGGTGGGACCAGGAGGGGACCCAGGCGGCCTGCCCGAGAGCCCTGTGTCAGACATCAGCCAGCCAGCTCTGACTGTCCTGACATGGGAGCCAAAGCTGGGCAGTTCTGCAGACCCCCAGCCCTTCTCCTGGGCTAGGCCCGTGGGGCTCTGATCCTCTCCTTCCCAGGGTTCACTTTGAGTGCCAAGAACAGGGCCAACAGGGCCCCCCAGCACACTGTCCCCTGAGCTGTGGGGCTGCTACCCCTCTCTCTGGGTTTTCCTGCTGAGACAACAAAACAGAAGCCACAGCAGAGTGCACGGGGCCCTGAATGCAGACAGGCCAGTTCCAATCCCAGCTCCACCACCCTGGGCTGTGTGTATGTAGATCAGCCCTGTTTCCTCCCCAGCCTGTTTCCTCATGTGCAAAGTGGGGGACTACAAGCCTGGAAAACCTGTCCCTCAGGCCCTGTCCCCGCATGGAGTGGGAGCCAAGGTCTGTGAGCTCCCTCCCCTCCAATTCCCAGCCATCCCGCCCCCAGCTGCCCAACCGGCTGCAGGCACCCGTGGTCTGAAGGGGCTTTGTCCTCATCAACACCCCCTGTTCCCTGTTCTTGCTCCTTGAAGGAGGGTGTCCCAAGCCTGTGACACAGATGCTTCTCTCTCTCCTGCAAACCTGTACAATTTCCATTCCAGCCCGTGTCCTGCTTCACTATAACCGGCCTGTCTCCGCCCCTTAATGCTATAGCATTCATGCAACAGCAGCATTAGGCTCCCGGCAAGCGAACTGTCGCCTCCTCCTCCCGGCCCGCGGCGATACTTTCCAGCGGACCCTTGCGTCCTCCTTCCTCTCCTCCCAACACTGCATGCCCCATCTTCACTCTCTCCACTTTGGTCTCTGATTTGGGTCATTTGTGCCATGTCTCTGGCTCCCCCGTTTGGTCTGTCCACGTTCCCAGAGACATCCTCTCTATTCCATGGATTTAAGCTGCTCCTGGAATTGCCCCCAGCATCCCCATCCTCATTGCTTGTCTCAGTTTTCCTTTTCTCCGCAATTCCCGCCAATCCCATAGTTCTTGAAAGGAGAGGCGAGCACGTCAGCCTTTAATTACCTGCCTAATCCCGTTGTCGTCTCTGGATCGCTATGTCCCCTCCCCAGTTTCTCTGCGTTATGCAAGTGATTGCTACCACGGTGGTACCTCCCGCACTGGCTCTATTGTTCCCTCAATCTGTGGACTTGTTCTCTCCCTCTTCTTAAGCGGGATGCTGGCACTGGGCAGGGTGGTCTGACAGGGAAATTACTGGATAGGCAGCAAGGGCTGTGCAGGTCACACAGGTAAACAAGAGACGGCCTGCACTCAGGGGCTCACGGTCACACGGGTTCCTAAGTAACTAGAAGCCAAGGCAGATGTGGGAGCCCCACCCGCCTCGATGGAGCTCCCACTGCCACCAGCAATGGCTGGGCTCGTGTATGCAGAGTTAACCACAGATACACAGTCCACCCAAGGGCTCTCATAGCCCCGAGGAAGACAAGACGGGGTACCAGCGCATGAATTCTCCATCCCTTCATTCAGCAAGAGTGTGCTGAGAGGTGACTCCCTGCTGGGGAGACCACAAAGACTCACATTCCAGCTTACAACAATCGCGGGGAGAGCAGTATTTCCAGAGACGTGAGAGCTCGGAGAACTGAGTGACCAACTCCACCTGAGGGGGAGGAGGTGGGCTCTGAAGTGGATCCTGAAAAGTGAGTCAGAGTTTACCAGAGAGAAAAGGGAAAAGAGGGAAGCACACTCTCAGAGATGGGAATAGCACGTGCAAAAGCCCAGAGGCAAGAAGGAACAAGGCAGGCAGGCTGGGGGAATGTCATGCAGTTTGGTATGGCTGGTGTGCATCTATGGGGGCTTGTGGTGGTTTTAAATATGTCCACAAATTCTTTGACATTCCTCCCTTCAAAAGATGGAGCCTAATTCTCTTCCCCTTGAATGTGGGTGGGATTTAGTAACTCACTTCTACAGAATAGAATATGACAGAAGTGATGGTGGACAACTTCTGAGACTAGATCATAAAAGACATGTAGCTTCCTCCTTACCCTCTCTCAGATCACTCTGGCAGAAGCCAGCCACCATGTCAGAAGGACACTCAAGCAGCTCTCTGGAGAGGCCCACATGCAGAGGGACTGAGGCCTCCTGCCCACAGCCAGCACCGCTTGCCAGCCATGTGAGTGACCCATCATGGAAGTAGGTTCTCCAGCCCCAGTCAAGCTTTGAGATGACGCAGACTGCTGTGATCGGAATGTTTGTGTCCCCCCAAAATTCCGATGTTGAAATCCTAATGCCCAATGTGATGGTATTAGGCAGTGGGGCCTTTGGGGGGTGCTTAGGTCATTAGGTGCAGCCCTCGGGAATGGAATTAGTGTCCTCATAAAAGAGGTCTGAGAGAGCTCCACTGCCCCTTCTGCCACGTGAGGACACAGCTATGAGCCAGGAAGCAGGCCCTCACCAAACACCGAATCTGCTGGCACCATGATCCTGGACTTCCAGCCTTCAGCACTGTGAAAAATAAATATTTGTTGTCTATAAGCTATCCAATTTATGATATTTTTGTTATAGCAGCCCAAATAGACTAAGACACAGCCCCAGCCAACATCTTGACTACAATCTCACGAAAAACCCCACGCCAGAACCACCCAGCCACCTACAGAAACTGTGAGATAATAAATATTTATTGTTCTTTTGGGCCACTATGTTTCAAGGTAATTGGCTACACAACAATCAGTGACTAAAACAGGGGTGTTTTGGGGGAATGGTCCAAGACACGAGGGGCTTGGAAGCCGTGCTAGAGAACATGGTCCTGACTCAGGGCATGAGGACCCCCGAGAGCCTTTGAGGAAGGCAGGGCCATGCTTAGATTTGATGCAAATGAACTGAAATATGTTGGAGACTTGGCTCCATCACTTCCCTCTTTGGGCCTCAGTTTCCTCATTTGTCAAATGTGTAGGCCGGACCAGATGATCTCCAGCACGTGGGCCCACCACATGCTGACTACTCCAAGACACAGCAAGTGAGGTGCATGGTTCTTAGGGCATTTGAGAACCCAGGGGGGAGGTGAGGGAAAGGGGAACCTGTTGCTGACAGTACAACTTCCGAGAGGAGTGGGATGAGACATGCCAGACGCAGCCACCCGCCTTCTCCTACCCACAGGGAATCAGGGAGAATGGAGCATGTGTGGTGAGGGCAAGACACGGGCAGGGAGGGGCGGTGGCCTGGAGACTTCCAAAGAGTCAGGAAGATGGAGGGCACATAGCGGGTGGGGACCTCCAGGGGGACCCTCCTCTGGGCCCCAGCTGGCAGTTTGCCCTTCAGCCGCGCCTGAGAAGGAACTCTGCACCAGCAACTCACATCCATTATTCTGTTTAATCCTCACCATGATCCCTCAAGGAAAGTTTTTTATTTGTATTGATTAGTTTATTGATTTAGGCCAACCTTGTTCCAGAAAGGCTTTAAGGTGGCTTGTAGGGATTTATAACACAGCAAGAGAGCAGGAGTGAAAAGTAGGGCAAAGAGAAGAAGGAAAATCAATGGCGGTTACCAAGAAGGCAGCACCACGTGACCCACATATCTGCCAGGTCCGGGCAGAGGGTGGGCTCTAGGCTTTCTGAGAGCCGAGGTGGAAAGGGGGAACCGGTCAGTTAAGCATCCTCAATATATATATACATTTAAAAGGACCAGTTTCTCAGGAGTATAGCTGATTTGGGCACTAAGATGAGACAAGAATTTCTCCAGAGGTCTTTATAAAAAATGACAGTGTGGCCTAATCAATAACACCAGATCCTTATAATAAATGGGTTTCAAGTGTCTGTTTCTTATAATAGCATCACATCCTAGTAT